GCACGGCTCCTCTGTGTCTGTGTCCCAGTGTGTGTCCTCACCTGCCCGCCCATCGGGGACACCGAGGCTGCTGCCATACCCGGGCGTGGCTGGCAACTCCACAGCGAAAGGTCCCTTCAGGGCAGGCCCTTGTGCAGCGCAGGCACCCTGGCCTGGAGCTGCACGCCACAGGCAGCACAGGCACCTGCTGAGTCACCACCCATTTCACTGCTTACTTTATTTTCCTGATTACCCCGGAGTGGGACTGCTGACCGCGGGCAGTCCTGGTTCTAACTCACCGAGGGACTCCCGTTCTCTTTCCCGTGACGCCTGTGCCCACCCACTGTCCTTGAGTGCAGAAGCCCCAAGCAAAGACCTGCTGGGTTTTCGCCCCTTCCTCCCATGCAAATCCTCCTTCGCCGCTCTGGGGATCAAGGGTCCCCACTGGACTGTTGGACATGGCCGCCCTGGCCCTGCACGGGGCCGGCAGAGTGGGTCAGCTTCCTGCAGGCCTGACGGCACCGCTGAAGGTGTGTAGGGAGTGTGGGGAGGTGGGGCTGGGAGCTGGTGCCGGTTCCGGACAGCGGGGAGCCCTAGAAGGCAAGGGGACAGTGGTTTCTGCACTGAGAGAGGAGAGCTGGGGGAGCTGTCCAGCAAGTGCGGTTCCCCCGCAGGACACGTCCACCCTGCAGGGACCTACACCCAAGTGACTAGAGTGCTGGACACACAACCTCATGGTCTCATCTTGGTGGTGCCCCTCCTGGGCCAGGCTCAGCCGGAAATAAGCCCAAAAGGCACTGGTGTGTGGTGCACTTGGGCAGCCTCTCGGGGTGCTGAACAGGCTGCAGAGGGGGGAGGGCAGACCTGCACCGGCGAGTGATGAACACCCTCGCACGGTGTGACTAGGGTCCCCTCGCACTGAGTCCTGCAGGGCTGGCCAGTGATGACATCAGAAGGCAGAGGAAGCCTCCTGAGTCCCCCATGGCGGGGCTCCTGACTCACTCCTTAGGGAACACTTCGCACGTGTGGAAAATGAACCTTTTGAAGCTGAGGCCTGGTCAGATTCGGAAAGACTCAAATGCAGTCACATACCACGTAAGGGTGTCTGGGACCCTCAGTGGACCTCACAGATGACAGGGTTGCCCGGGAATCCGACGGAGCTGAAATCACGGCTCCCTATTCCCTCTCCACCTGGCAAGGTCGTAGCACAGCACAATACTCCTGGGGGGGGGGGGGTGTGCTCGTGTAAACACGCCCTCTACATTCACAGCTGCATGAACACGCGGCACACACGGTTGTGTGAGGTGTACCATCCTAACGGCTGACAACCCGTTTGCCGCGTGCCTAGCGGGTTACGTCTCTGCTCTGCTTTTATTGTTAGGTTAGGGTGTCCTCCTGCTATGAGAAACAGAGTTAACTGCGAAGCAGCCCAGGCGGGTCCTTCCGGAGGTGGCAGGAGGTGACAGCCCCTGCGTGTATGGCCCCGAAGACCTCCAGTGGCATAACGTGGGGGGTGGAAGCCGGCGACGCCGAGGACCGTGCTCTGTGCAGGGCGAGGCTGACGTGTGTGTCTTTATTTTTCACCAAAACGTTAAAAAGTGCAATAGCAGGCGCTGCCACGTAGCACGTAGCCTGGGTGGAGGCTGAGTCGGACCTTCTGGTAGGACAGGTCTGCAAGCTCGAGGACGCCTGCTGAGGAAGGGACTCTCCGATGGCCAGCAGGCAGCCGGGGTAGGGTCTCCTGGGCAGAGGTAAAGTCCCCAGTGAGGAGTGGGGTGTGGTGCCCGGAGGTGCCAGTCACACTATGGTCTGCGGCGGGGAATACTGGCAGCGTCTTGAGGTGTCTCCGGAATGGGAGAGTTGGGGCCTCTGTTCCCGCTGTCCGGTCCCCGTGGGGGCTCTCAGAGTGCAAACCAGCTACAGTGATCAGAGCTGAGCGGAGCTGCCCGCTGGTCCGGCCACTTCCTCGGTTACGGGCTCCTCGTCTGAGGCCTTAAAACATCCGTGTGTCTGTCTGTACATACGTGTGCGTGCATGTTTGTAGGTGATTATTCGAGTGAGCTCCTGGAAAGGAAAAGTGCTCGGGTAACTTCTGTGTCCTGAAGCTGCAGTTTTTCTTAAAAGCACAATTTAAAAATCCCGATTTTCTTGCCTCCTCTCCGCCCTCTGTATTTCGCTCGCCCAGCTCATAACCGCACCCGCCGTGTGCACGTGGCGAGTTCGCCTGCGAGGACGTTTCTCCCTCCGAACTGCTCCTCGCTGGTAAGTGTGCAGGACCCCGCGTGCTTTCCCCCTCATTCTACGTATTTACTTGTTATTATTAGTTTGGTACTGGGAGTCGAACCCAGGCCTCATGCTTGCCAGGCTGTGCCGCTGAGCTGCGTCCCCGGCCCTTCCCACGCCGTGGTCTCACTTGTCAGCAAAGCGGACATCTGGTTCCGGGGATGCAGCTCAGCGGCACAGCTCCTGGCAAACCCGAGGCCTTGAGTTAAATTCCAGGCATGGTACCAACAAAACAAAACAAAACAAAGCAAAACAGACTATGTGAGTCATCGTTACCCCACACTTCCTTCTTATTGGCTGAAGGTCAAATGCTCGCTTCGCCTAGCCACCAGGGCCTGCCTTGTCCACGTGCATTTATTACTTTGTTTTGGTTTATTGAGACAGGGTCTCACTGTGTAGTCCAGACTGGCCTCAAACTCACGGGGATCTTTCTGCCTCAGCCGCTAGTGCCGGGGTCCCCGGAGGGGGCCACCCCACTGCCGGGCTGAGCGTGTTTTTAGACACAGTCCTAGATGCCATCTGTGACACTGACAAGGCACTGGAGGCCAGGAAGAGTTCTCGGGTGGGAAGTGAATCACTGCACAGGTCACCCTTGACAGTAGCCTCAGCTCGCCCGTGTGCCCAGTGGGGCTCCCCTAGGGCTCCCTCTCATTATGGTTCATACCCAGATGTCCTCCTAATGCCACAGGGCCTCACAGCCTGCACCTCTGGAAGGTGATGACTGTGGGGCTCAGAGCAGACTTGCGCTGGGAGGTGGGGGCCTGCTCAGAAGAGGGGTCCCTGGGGCGTGGCCTGGGAGGGCTCCTCTCCCTCCCCACCCAGCCCCTTTGCCTTGCCATCCTGTCCTGGACCCAGCTAGCCATGCAAGGACTAACATGTCTACAACAGGAGCCAGAGAAAACCTCTCCTGCCAGGTGTGGTGGTCCACGCCTGTAATCTCCGCACTCAGGAGGCTGAGCAGGAGGATCCTTGTGAGTTCAAGACCAGCCTGGACTACAAAGTGAGCTTAAGGCCAAGTGAACTGCACAGATGTCCCCAGCTTGAGGCTCTGACGAGCCTCACCTGTTCCCTTCTGACCCCAGCTACTGACTCTCCGCTGGCTTCCTTCCTGAGCCCCACCGACATATCCACCTCTCCTCAGCCCCTCCTGACTCCTCCAGGGCGCTCTTCGCCCTCCCTTCCTGTCCCTTCTCCTTCCCTTTCCGAGCTCCCCCTAGGTGGCTGCTTCCACACCTGCACATTCAAAGACCAAAGGTAGGTGGTGTTTTTGGAGAACGGGGGACCCATTTAGACTCCCCACTTAAGGATGAGTCAAAGTTGCCGTGGTGAAGTCTCTTTGTCTGGGTGAATCGCTTTGTGACAGCCCTACTGTGAGCCTGACAGATGCACCGAGGCCTCAGCCCTGTGCCTGTCAGTGGACCCTTGTTTGCAGATGGAATCGTGTCAGTCTGAGGCCCTGTTATGGGACCTTGTGCCATGGAACCAGGAGACTCCTGAGAGCAGCGAAGACACACAGAAGCTCTGCATTCACCTGCTGAACCCCAAGGCTCAACAGGCTCCCGGGGCCTAGAAAGAAGAGTAGAAGAAATTCTGACATGTGGGTTTCATAGGGAGCATTGCCCTGCAACGCCTCGGCCGTGGGCTTCTCTCTTCCCAAATCCAGAGGCGACACCTTTCTACTGTCACTTCCCTGGCAGTCCTGGGGCTCGAACCCAGGGCCTCATGCATTCTGGGGGAACCCTTTGTCTCTGGCCACAGCCCGGCCTGCCCCTGAGCTGCGCACTCCAAGGTCCTAGTCAAGCCGGCACGCTGTCTCTGCTGCCCTGTAGCTCCTCCACCCAGCAGCTACCTACAACCCACAGCCGCTTTGCCTTTAAAATATTTCGCCTTCAACTTTCCCGATTCAGGGTTTCTCAGGTTTTCAAATAGGATTACAGATCAATCTATGGCTTGCAGGTTTTAAATTCTCCCTTAGTCTTTCGCTTAAGGGCATCAAGGGGGAAAACGATCATCTGAGCCCTAATGCCTCAGAATAAAGCATAGGTCTTAAACACCTTGGGTTCATGAAAACCTGGCTGCTGTATTCTAACCTTTCAGGTTTGTTTCAGATCCACTCAAAGTTAACAATAGAATCATTTAAAGAGTACACATTTATGGATGCGACAAATAAAAATATTAATATATAAATGATCATGGCCTTTTTTATTCCCATGCATCTTCCTCCTTTTTTCCAAACTCTTTTTGGGCGTATTACGAATGGGCTGGTAAGCAGCCAGGAAGAGGGGGAACTGAGGACGGCTGGGTGTATCTTAGTCCCTGAAGAAAGACAGAGACAGAGATAATTAGAATATGAGCATTTAAGAAACAGAAGCTTAAAAAAAGAATTTTTTTTTTGAGACAGAGCCTCCCTATGGAGCCCAGGCTAGCCTTCAACTTGCAGCAATCCTCTTGTCTCAGCCTCCTGACTGGTGAGATTACAGCCATGCGCCACCAAGTCCAGCTAAAATTTCTTTTTAAAAAGGTAAAGAATGATCTCTCAAAAAAAAAAACCTTATATAGGGGCCAGGGGTTTAGCTCAGTGGCATAAATGCCTGCTTGGCTAGCACAAAGTTGTGAGTTCAGTACCCGGTAACAAATTATATCTTATGTAGAGGGGAAGGCGGAGAGCATGCTTAGGTTGAGGGAGTCATATCAGAGAAACTGAAAATAACAGAGGAAGAAAAAGGCATGTTAGAAAATTGGCTATACATTGTGTTTTTATTTTGTTCTCTTTGAGGATGGCACCAGGGTCTCATGCATGCTAAGGAAGTGCTCTAACCACGGAGATACACTGCCAGCCTGTGTACAGTGTGTGTGGTCCTCCCAGAGCCTCCTTTGGAATTTGAGAAAGAGGTTTAAATTGTTTTGGGTAGGCCCTTGCTTCCCTGCCAGACTTTTCATTTTTTAAAATACATTTTATTGTGTATATTCAAGGCTTATATCTAGGCATCCCCAGGAAGCCTCATGGGGATTCGTGGTGGTGACCCGAACATGGGTGTCACGGGATTAGTTCACGAATGGGTGTACAGCTGGGCGTGGTGTTGGGAGGTGAAGCCTGATTGGTGGAGGTGGCCGCTGTGGGCGTGGCCTGGAGGCTCTGTGTCCCTCCTCCTCCCTTGATCCCTCTCTGCCTCTTGCCACCTGCCCTGAGCTGTTTCTCTCCAGCCAGGCCCTTCTGCCCTGCTGCCTTGCCTTGTTGACTCTAGGCAGAAACCTCTAGACTGTGAACACCCTCCTTGTGGGCGTTCAGTAGTTTGTCCTAGCAATGAGAAAGTATCCATGACACTATGCAACATGACATTATGGGATACAGTCTGACAGTGACGGTAGTGACAGGAACAGACCCATCATCTCACAAGGTTACCCATTTGTGTGTTTTTGTAGCAAGAATCCTTATTTTTATTTTTAATAACGTGTGGCTACAGTATACTTAAGAATAAACAGCACAAACAAGAATATACATGTTGAGAACTGAAACTAAACAGAAGCTAAATAACAGGCTTTATGTTGATTCCACTGCAGATTATTGTGATCCTTAATTCAAGTTAGGGAGGTCTAAAAGGAATTTCAAAATGATTTTTGGAGGACATTTTCAAGACACAGTCACTGTATATAACCCAGGCTGGCCTTGAACTCACTGAAATCTTCCTGCCTCAGCCGCCCAAATGCTGTGACGACAGGTGCACAGCATCACGATGGCCAGAGAATTTCATTGCTCTGTGCCTCATGACCCATTTATGAAGCGCAGATGACAGTACCCCACTGGCTGGACTGTGGAAAAGAGTGTGAGTTACTACAGTGCTTAGGGTAGCATCTGGCCACCAGAGCCCACAGGGGGCAGCCAGTGCTAAAAAGAAACCCACACTTTTATCTCACCTGCCTCCCGAATAAGCGCAGAACACTTTCCTGGCTCACTGTTCCTAAACCTCTCCACATGGCCTGCAGAGGTGGCCGGCATCCGATGGGCAGCCTGCACAGTGACCTTCCATCCTGCATTTTGGGGCACTCTCCTCTTGCAAGCTGGAGCCTGTGGGGCCTCCCTGAGCCCCAGCACTTCTGACTTCTACCAGAGGTGGGTGATTTTACCCTGGTTTCTTTACAGGCCACACCGCAGTGGGGTGATGTAGCCCAAACTGTCTCCCCCTCGAAAGCTCTGCACACCTCCCCACTTCATGATCAACGCACTTGGGATGACGGCACGACCACCATCTCTTCCTCTATGCCAACGCACAGCCCTCAAGTCTCTTGCAGCTACGAATATCAATCTTTGCATCGCAGTTAATTAAATTTACCCGGAAGGCCTGTTGGTAGCCGTGCCAAGGTCACTGGACCCCACCTGCGGAACAAAAACATAGAGTCAGCCGGTCGGCAGAACCCCCACGGCCTGGTCATGACAGCGTCCCTGGGCCCCTCACTCAGCCTCTGCCCCCGTGGGGACGTTCCCGCCCGAGACTGCCGCCAGCGACCCCGGCTTCCCAGCCTCCTTCCTCGACTCCTCGGTTCCTGGCACAGGCGGCACCTGCCAGCGCCAGCCAGGCCCGCGGGCACGGAGGACCCAGGCCCGGGTGACCTCCGCAGGGTCCCGCCTCCCTAAGATGCTCAATTAGCGTGGACGGGCGGGGCCGCTCGATAGATGCTCCCCGAACCCCCAGCGGGAGGTTCTGCGAGGGCGGCAGACTGACGCGCGCCGGCAGCCACGCGTCTCTAGCGCCCCGCGGCCATGTCACCCCCCCACCCCGGCGGGTGTGGGCGGGGCAGGGCGGGTGTGGGCGGGGCCTCCGCGGCCGCCTCACGTGATGCCCCTCCCTTGCCCCGCCGGAGCGCGCGCAGGGCATTGTGGGCAGAGGGGCGGGGGTTGGGAAGATGGCGGCTCCCAGCCTCCTTCACTGGAGGCGGGTTTCCTCCTCCACCGGGCCGGTGCCCCGCGCCCGGCACGGACACCGCGCCGTGGCCATCCGGGAGCTGATGATTATCTTCGGCGGCGGCAATGAGGGCATCGCGGACGAGCTGCACGTCTACAACACCGGTAGGCGCGGCGGCGGGCGGGCCCCGCCTGCGCGAGCGGGGGAGGGGCGGCGGGCGGCCGCGGCCTGACAGCTGTCACCACCGCCGCGTCACCGCTCCCTCGGCCGCGCCCGGGACCCACCGGCCGCCGCGCCCTGCCGGGGACCCAGAGGGCCAGGCGCGCCCGCCGGCTCCCGCCCCGCGTCCTCCGCCTCAGCCCGCGCCCCGCGGCCCTCCCGCCTGGGTCTCGGCTTGGTGTCCTCCCGCTCCGGGAGCCCGAATCCCTCCGCTGTCAAAAAACAAAACCCGCTGCCACCCGTCGCTCCCCAGGCCTTTGCTGTCTTTAGGAGGAGGAGGGTCTGCAGGGACGAGGAGCGAGAGCAGGCTCTTCTGCTCCTCCATCCCGGGACGGCGGGCCAGGTGCCCAGCGGCTGAGATCCCCGTGGGCGCCCGCCCGCTCCGGGCACTGCTCCCCAGGAGCCGGAGCGCCCTGCCCGTCCCGAGGGCCGCTGGCCAGGGAGGCCCTGCCTTTGGAGCCTGGAATTTCGTTTTTCCCACTTGTTGATCCTGCAGCTGTCGGGAGAAATCTTTCTTTGGTATAAGGCTTTCTTTGGTGAATTCTGAGTTTATCTCACGTTCAGCAACTTTTCTGTGACCAAAACTTAATTACCGCAGTGGAATAAAGGTGAACCAGTGAAGGAGAGAAAATTTTGTTGTTTGCCTCCTCTCTTCATCCTGATTCCCCAGCATATAAGATTGAGAAGTTATTTTATTTAGCATGGTGTAAAGTCCCGGGCTTTAGCATACATGAGACCTGTTTGAATCTTGGTCTGCTAGTTGTCAGGAGTAACATCCACACTTTTTTAAAGCTCAGGTTTTTTTTATTTCTTGTTTTTAAATGGAAATAGTACTTACCCGGTAGGGTTTTTACACGAGCTTTTCACTAGCATCACAGCTGACTGGTAGCATCTCCACCTCCAGATGTGACAACTTCAGAAGTTTCCATCTGTTGCCCAGTCAGTGTCCCCTGAGGGCACAGAATCATCCCTGGTTGAGAATCGCATGTATGGGTGATACACATAGAGTACATACTCATCGTGTGTGTTACCTGTGGTTGTGATTGATTTTAATTTTATTTTGGCATCCAGTTACGAATCAGTGGTTCCTACCGGCTGTCAGAGGAGACATCCCACCAGGCTGTGCTGCCCATGGATTTGTCTGTGATGGTACCAGAATATTGGTATTTGGGGGAATGGTTGAATATGGAAGATACAGCAATGAATTATATGAGTTACAAGTAAGTGTATTGAAAATGTATTTCAATTTGACGCTTTAGTAATAGGCTCACAATTCTTCAAAAGGTGGCAAAGTGTTTCATTAACATAGTTAAAATAGCATGAACTTCACATCTTATTTGATTTTATTTTTTATTTATTTATTTTTTTGTGCTACTAGGGAGTAAAATATCACCAGCCCTTTGTACTTGCTTTTTAATATTTTTTTATAGTTTTTAATTTTTTTTTTAATCTTTTTGAGACAGGATCTTGCTATGCAGTTCAGGCTGGCCTTGGACTCACTTTGTAGCCTAGGCAGGTGTTGAACTTGCAACAATCCTCCTGCCTCAGTCTCCCAAGTTTTGGGTTTGCAGGCATGAACTACTACCTTTTTACTTTCTTGAGACCTGAATTTGGGATTCTCCAGTCTCAGTGGCACACCCCTACCCCCATCTATCCAGTCTAACCTAGCTTCACATTTTATAGCTTCAGAGAAAATGTTTACACTTCTCTTAAAAGCCCCAAGTTTTTAATGTCATTTTTCATGCAGAGGATAACTGTAATAACAAGATGTGTGCCCTGTAGCATAACTTGTATGTGTGACTGCAAGTGGAGGATTTGTGAATACAGATTACAGGGTCCCACCTTGAAATTTCTGAGTCAGTTTTGTCAGTTAGTTGGAAGGCCTGAGAATTTGCATTTCTGCAAAGGTTGCTGATGTTGCTGGTTTTGGACCTTGCTTTGGAAACCACTGTTTTAGTGTCGCAGGAATTGCTACGTTTAACACTAATCACTACTTTTGTTTTCTCCCAGTATACACACGAAAGAGGCGTCATAGCTTCGTTTAACCCTTTTCAGTCTGATTCTGATTAAACCAGACTCGCAGCCCTGGTGTCTGTTGTTCCGGGTCTGTGCGTGTGTCCCCAGGGCCTTGTCACCAGGGTATCTGCCAGTCGTCAGATGTGGGTAGGTTACACCCGTTCGAAAGCAGCTCATCTCAAAAATTGTTTCAGGTAAAGAAGAGGTTCGTGGCCAGTGAACACATTTTAGAGTTTGGTTTGTTAAGTGAGCTTTATGTCTACTCAAAGCTTAAAATATCTGAACGTTTATAAGTCACCTACCATCAGAAAGTAAAAGTGTGTAAATTACATTTACTCTTAACGTTACATAGAGTATAATATCTAGTGATTCATTTGGGAGCATTAAAATTATTAGTATTTATTATCTTTATAAGTTTACTACGACTTTGCAGAAATCTGTGTATGTACACTTATCTTTACTTTTAGAAACCATGTCATGGTCAAACCCGGAGACTGAAGGGGCAGTGCTGCCCCCCCAGCCCTAACCCTAATCTCAGTTCCTACTGGAGCACACATCTTAATTCCAGAAGTCAGCCGCTTCCTTGTCCTTTTCTCTAAAAGGAGCTGATAGCCCTCGGATTGCTGTGCCTTGCACAGCATCGCCTGTGGCGGTGTGTGCCTTCTGACGTTGTCTAAGTGTGTTTGTGCTCTTCAGGCCAGTCGGTGGTTGTGGAAGAAGGTGAAGCCCCACCCCCCGCCGTCTGGTTTGCCTCCGTGCCCTCGGCTTGGACATAGTTTCTCTTTGTATGGCAACAAATGCTATTTGTTTGGTGGTCTGGCAAATGAAAGTGAAGATTCAAACAATAACGTCCCAAGGTATGCGCTTTCTCAGACTGAGTGCTCCTTCTGTGACTTAAGTTAGGAGTGTTTAATTTCTTTCATGTTTAAAATGTTTTCAGTCTCAGGGATTGAACTTAGGCTTTGCTCACATAGATTCTCAGTCCTTTTTTATTTTTCATTTTGAGGCAGGGTCTTGCGCAGTTGCCCAGGTTGTTCTAAAATTTGGGATCTTCCTGCCTCAGCCTCCTCAGATGTTGAAGTTACAGGCATTTAATTATTATAAGGGATGAAGCTTAGCTTTTTACATTAAACCTAACTATGAACACAAATTTTTTTTTTACTATTTGTGTTTTCTTTTGTCCTTGGAATATATGTTTTCAGAATGTCTTCTTTAATGAGAAATCATATTATTTAGTTGATGTTTGTATATCTCGAGCTGTAATGTTTGTTAGCCAGGTCAAAATGATCATGAAAACTAACTTGGTTCTTTTAAAATGGGTTTCCTGGCTGGGGATGTAGCTCAGCGGCAGAGCACTTGCCCAGCAGTGTCCAAGGCCCTGAGCTCACACACCCCACTGTACCCACATCACCCACCCACCCCACTCAACTGGCTTTCTCTGGGACACATGTTTTCCCATTTATTCCAAACAATCACTGTTTCTTTTCTTGTATAGATTTTCAGTGTACAAATCTTGGTCTTATTTTGTGAAATGCCTAAATTTTGTGTCCTTTTTCATGATAGTATGAATGGATTTTTTTTCTTAATTTCATTTTCAGATTTTTTGCTGCTAGTATATAGAATTACAGTTGGCTTTGTATGTTGGCTGTGTCTCCTGTGACTTTGCTGAATTTATTTCTTTCTAATCATTTTCATGGGATTCTTTCTATAAAAAAAGAAAAAAACTACATGTTCTTTCAGACGTCCAATTATTTTTCCAGGTCTTCTCTTTGCTTTTTCAGTGTTTGAAGGGTTTTCATTTTGTTTTCTCATATTTGACAGGATTCTTTTTATGACCGTTGATTGCTTTCATCCCATCCTAGATATTTAAATGACTTCTACGAGCTGGAGCTGCAGCATGGCTCTGGCGTTGTGGGCTGGACCATCCCCGTCACCAAGGGGCTGGTGCCTTCTCCCAGAGAGTCCCACACAGCCGTCATATACTGCAGAAAGGACTCCGGGAGCCCTAAGATGTATGTTTTTGGTGGAATGTGCGGTTCTCGCCTGGATGACCTATGGCAGCTGGACATTGGTAAGCTAACTTGCTTCGGGCTCAGCACTTGGTTATGATTAATAAGAGCAAATTTTAAAATTGCTTCAAAAATATTCCTGATGGCAGTGTTTGTTGAGTTGCATTGTGTTTTTGGCCGCACCCCTAGTCTCCGGGGCAGCGAGCTGGCCTCAGTCAAGGTGAGCTGTTGCATGTTCATTCTGTGACAGTTGACATGGAGGCAGTGTCACCGCTGGGCCTGGTTCATGGGCCGGGCCTGCACTCCGCCCACCGTCCTGGGGATTGTCAGTAGCGTCCAGGGCGGGTGTCCTGGCTATGGGAAATGTGGCATTTGCAGTGTGAGTGCTCAGCGGTGGAGAATCCTTAGGTGGTCCTTCCGAAGAGAGTGTGAGAGCGAGCTTGGAGGAGGGGTGCCTTTCACCTTGACTGTCTTCACTACAGTTGCTCTTATTTAAAATGCTGAGGTGACCGGTACTGTTCTGAGTTCAGAATCCAAGCCCCTCAGCACACCTGCCTTACAGATGCTGGCTTCAGGGGTAAGCCGGGTTCTGATCGGCAGTGTCAGCTGGCAGTGTGTACAGGAAAGCTCCAGTAACTTTTAAACATGCTTGCTTCATGTTCAGAAGGGCTTCTTATGTTTTTAAAAGTACGCAGCTGAGAGAATTTGCTGTTATTAGACGGAGATGCTAATGTGCTTGTTTTTACTTTTAGAAACTATGTCATGGTCACAGCCAGAAACTAAGGGGACAGTGCCGCTTCCGCGAAGCCTCCACACAGCCAGTGTTATAGGAAACAAGTACGGCCGGGTTTTGTTTTTCACTACTGGTTTAAAAAACTGAAGAAAGGTGCCCAGACAGGAGAGGCGGTGCGCCAGTGTCTCTGAGCAGATTTGGAGCTTAGCCTCGATCTCACTTACCGGAGCTAGAATAATTTGTCAGCGGGACTGAAGTCTCTGCGTGCCACTGTCTGACCCGTGTCTCCTGTGGCTCCAGCTCCTGCTCAGCGCCCGCCCAGCGCAGGCCTGGCCTGGTCCGGCAGGCACCTCAGCCTGCTCTGCTCTCTCTGCAGGTCTGGCGCACCGCCTCGCTGCCTCCCTCCGTTGACACGATTCTGGGACCACGTGGTGGCCTCAGGCACGCGTTCTCAGGGTGCTGCTTTGGGTGGGGAGATGGCCTTAGGTTAGAGCGAAGGCTGTGCAGTTGGATTCCTCCTGATCCAGGCCGGCGCTGGTACTTGTCCTGCCTAACGTGGGGCAGAGAAACTTAATCCATCGGCCTACGTGTGCCTCAGTTTCCTAGGCATATGAGGGGATTAGAGTAAACCCGTTCGCTAGGCGTCATGGGGAGTCAGAGGGTAAGCCCACCAGCATGCTCAGAACACTGTGAGGCTTCCCGAGCAGTCACAAAGGTCAGGTGCTGCCACTTAACCTTCCTCGTTGCGGTGACGCTGGGCCACAATGAGTGGTGCCGTTTAAGTAGAGCTTAGTGAAGTATTTATGAATATAGGGATTTTACTTTAAATTTGGTGTTGCAGGCCGGGTGCCGTGGTGCGGACAGTAGTCCAGCATTCAGGAGGATCCCTGCACGTTTGAGGCGGCCTGGGCTACACAGTGAGTTCAAGGCCGGCCGAACTGTGTAACAAGACACTCTCAAAAACCGGAATAGAAAAAGTAATGTTTCAGGAAACTACTAGTTATAATTTAGACCCACATTAGTTCTTTTTAAAAAAATAATTCAAAAACCAATAGAATAGTCTTTATACTTACATAAAATCACATAAAAACTTTTTAAACAGTAGCATCGTTTTGTAGCATGTACTTCTGCCTAGATCCCTGTCACATAAAACAGTCCGAGAGCAGGGCCTCTCCTCTCCGGCGGGGTCGTGCTAGGTCAGGTGGGCCTTGTGGCCTGCTGAGCCCTCTTCTGCAGCAGTCTCCAGCATCCGAGCCTCGGAGGAACAGAGTCGGGCGTCGTACTCTGTTCTGAACGTCGAGCAGGGATTTCTGTGTTGTCCGGGTGGCCTGCTGCTCCTGGGCTCATGTGATCCCCTACTCGGCTCTGGAGTAGGCAGGGCTGCAGATGTGCAGCGTCGCACCTGGCTTCAGGTGTTTGACTTACAAAGTCCCGTGAGCTGTAATGTAAAGTCTTTTTTGTTTGTTTTTGTTCTGAGATGAAATCTCCTTGTGTTGTGCAAGGTGGCTGTGAACCTCTGCACTCAGTGAATATCCCCGCCTCAGCCTCCCAAGTAACTAAAATGATGGGAAGGCACCACCACCCAGCTTAGAACTGTAAACTCTTGAAAGAACATCACTTTATTTTCTTATCCCATTTTTATTATTATTATTATTATTTATTTATTTATTTTATTTTTTTTTTTGGTCTTTTTGAGACAGGGTCTCGCTATGCAGTTCAGGCTGGCCTTGAGCTCCCTTCGTAGCCCAAGTTGGTCTTGAACTCACAACCATCCTCCTGCCTCGGCCTCCTGAGTGCTCGGATTACAGGTGTGCACCACCACACCCAGCTTATCCTAGTTATTTTGACTGGAATAAGTGAGCGAATATCCTGTTGCTTTCTGTCAGCAAATAAATTTAAGCTCAGTTTTAGCCTTTCAAATCCAAAAAATAAAATTAACTCAGCCACTTTATGTTCTTGCTTTTGTGTTCTTCAGAATGTACATTTTTGGAGGATGGGTTCCGCATAAAGGTGAAAACACCGAGACTTCATCTCATGATTGTGAATGGAGGTGTACCAGTTCATTTTCTTACCTAAATCTAGGTGAGGCCTATAATGTTATTGAAATAACGTTTATTAATAAAAGGATTCTGGTTATGTTGTCTAATGACTATTGCGTGGTAGTCATGGATGCTTCTTCTCTTTAGATACAGCAGAATGGACCACCCTGGTATCAGATTCTCAAGAAGATAAAAAAAATTCAAGACCAAGACCAAGAGCCGGGCACTGCGCTGTCGCCATTGGCACTCGGTTGTACTTCTGGAGCGGCAGAGACGGCTACAAAAAAGCACTCAACAGTCAGGTGTGCTGCAAGGACCTGTGGTACCTCGACACTGGTAGGTGGCGGGCTGAGCAAGGTGCACTTCCGCTGGGTACAGGCGCAGGGTGCGTGTCTCCGAAGGCATAGTGTATGTGCCACTAGCTCGTTCCTGCAGTGCAGACTGAGGGGAGGGATCACATGTGGAGCTCCCCCTCCTCCGGTGGAGGTTGGAGTTAGAGATGCTTTCCAGAGAAGAGTATGGAGGGGGACCGGCAGCCTTACAGGGTGTGCTGTGCAGAAACTCCAGAGCGAGAAGCTGAGGGACCCCACGGGGAAGGGGAGGGCAGGGCGGAGTGCGGTGTGGGGTCTTGAATTGGATCCGGAGGAGAGAGAGATGTTAGTTGACTGTGAAATCCCAGTGGCTTGAAGTTTGGACCATAGCAGTGCACGCAGGAATTTCTGGTTCTAACCACCGCATTTCCAGGAGGGAGGCTGGGTTGCTAATGTTGCAACTTCTGGTGACATTTTGGAAATGTAAAATGGCCATGGAATTTTTTAACTTTTATTTTTTAAAAAGTATGTACAAGTTTTTGCTATACTTGATCTTATACCTTTCTGAATTATATTTCTTTTTTTATTAGTACATGTTTGCTATACAGAAAATTTGTCTATAACCAAGAATTTTGTAAATGTGGAACTTGCATTGCTTTCTCTTTTATTTTATTTTTTCTCTTTTTGAGGGTACAGGGGATTGCACTCATGAGCTCAGGCTTGTGAGGCAGGCGTTTTTTGTGCTGCTGAGCTAAATCCCTGGCCTCTCACACCCACTTTCAATGAGTACAGATTCATAGCTATGCAGCAAGAATTATTCTAGGTAGGAGAACACAGTGGCAGAGGTATGGCCAATGTCCCCGCTTCCAGGAGCTTGGATTTCAAGAAGGTGTAGCAGCTGAGGGTGACTGGTGATGTGGCAGACAGAATCAGCGGGGTTCCTGGTGAGCACAGGGAGACCAAGCTAGTGAGGGGTGTGCCAGGTCAGGGCTGGGGTGGGGGTGCCGGGTGGAGAGGGAGCTGCCAGGCACAGGGCAGGCCTCCGGAGGAAACAGCAGGTCGAGGGAGCCGGAGATGAGGGAGAGGGCGATGGGCCGGAGGCTGAGAGGTGACCGGCGCAGGATGGCGTGGCGCTTGCGTGTCAGAGATTTTAAACTATTTTCATGTATTTTCTTTTTTTTAATGCTATTGGGGTGGCACCCAGAGTCTCGCGTCTGGTAGTTTTTAAGGCACAGGGTGAGTAAGATATGTTGAACATACGTAGACGGGAATGAGGCTTGGCGTGGTGCACATTTTTGTGGAGAAAAATTAAAGGGTCCATTTAGGTGTGCTAAGTTGGAGGGGAGATCAGGCCAGCAGCTCAGGGTGCAGGCGAGGCTGGCAGCCACAGAGGGGTTGCATCTGGAGGCACAGCGCGACATAGCTGAGACCGCAGCCTGCGAGTGTGTGAATGGGGACCTGGCCCTTACCCGCTGAGGAATTCTCGGAGAGCTGAGGTTGGGCACTTTTCAGAGCTTTTTCTTTATCTGTATTTTCCACAGTGGCATGTATGATCTTTGTAATATAAAATCTTTAATACTCAAATCATCTTTTTTTTTTTTTTTTTTTTTTTTTTTTGGTACTGGGTGTTGAATTCAAGACCTTGGACTCGCCAGGCAGGCGCTTATGCTGCCTTGGCCCTAGAATTATCTTAATTGAAAGAAATGAATGAAACAGCTAAATTAGAGACTAAACGCTTTCTGTAGGAGAAGCCCATACTAGTCAGCAGGAGAGAAAAGCAGAAGTCCAGTTCACTGGTCACTCTTTTTTGTTGTTGTTGTTTTTGTCGGTACCAGGGATCGAACTCACAACCACATGCTTAAAAGGCAGGCACTTATGCTGCTGAGCTAAATCCCCAGCCCCTTTAAAATTGGTAATTACTACTGGAAATCCAGTTCATATGTACACATAGGAGTTTTTCCCCCTGTTGGAATATCATGTGTCTTTCTGGAGACCAGGTTTCACTCTGTGGTTCAGGCTGGCTTTGAACACCTTTTGTAGTTCAAGCTGGCCTCAGACTTGCAGCAATCCTCCTGCCTCCGCCTTCTGAGTGCTGGTTATAGAGGTGTGCCAGTACACCTGGCAGGAATGTGTCTTTTAAAGAGGATTTTCCTAGGGACCTATGACTTTCAAAGATAAAAACCACTGGGTCTGAATGGCCGTCTTTTCCATGAACTTCAGAAAAAGCTGTAAAGACCCAAGTACATCCTAATAGTAATCATGGCTACTATCATAGGGGCAGAATTAGATTTTGCTTTTCCTTTGGGTAAGTTCTGCATCATTTTTCTGGGTGCGGGGATCATCTTGCCCCTTCTGACTTTTAACCAAGCTTTGCGTTGGGTGCCATGTGAGTGCGCGGTGGTGGTTTCATCAGGCCTCTGGTTAGTGCAGCGCCTGTGCCCCACCCTCCCTTGCTTTCCCCTCCCTGTAACAGTTCTTCGTGTCTCTGGTCCCGTTGCTGACTTGGTATTTCAGTTTCTTTCCAGTGTGGGTCTGCCGTGCTCACTTTCTACTGTGGATCGGGGACCCCTGTCCCCCGGGCCCCCCCCCCCGCCCACACTGCGTACCCCTCTCCTGTGCGCCTGCCTCCCTGCTGTCCCCACCCTGTGCCATCGCCCCGCAGCCTTGGCAGCTTGGGAGAAGCAGTGCTGTTGAGTCTCCCTCGAGCTTTTTCTGTGGGCCTGGAGTGATGGCTGCCTTCTCAGCTTCAGGTTTCATTGTGGACCCCTGGTTCACTGGTGCTCTTGCCCCCGTGTAAAGCGTCCCAGCGTGGCTGGGTGCATCTCCTGTGCTGCCCGTGCCATCTACTGAAGAATGAGCCCCCGCCTTGCCCTGGGGGCTCAGCCTGCACAGTTGAAGCCCAGCTCTCATCCTGTGGTCTCCCTGGGCTTCCCTCCCAGGGACATTTTTCTCCTTGCCCCTCTGCCAGAGTGCTGAAGTTTCGCCCCCCACCCCCCACCCCTTTATCAGTGCTGGGAGCAGAACCCAGGCCTCCTGCATGCTAGGCGAGCACTGTGCCACTGGACAGTGCCCTCACCTGTCAGTTATTTTTGTCATTCTTGTTTCGGGATCTGACTGTGTTGCCCATACTAGCCTCAAACTCTTGTGCTCAAGTGATCTTCCTGCCTCAGCCTCCCAGGCAGTGGAGACTGCAGTCCTTCCCAGCTGTGCCTAACTGGTCCTTTTTGATGTGCCTTTTCCCCTCTCCTCCCTGGAAGCTTTCAAACTTCTTCTATGTCCCTACTGTTTTTTAATTTCTTAATGTTCTTGTGGATTTATTTGCATCTGTGTGCTTAGGCCTCTGTGGGGTCATTCAGTCTGCAAATGCATGCTCTTTAGTTCTGGCAGTTTTATTTTACTGAGTGTGCACCCTTTTGGTTTTTCTGTTCCTCTTCGTGGGACTTGTGTTCTGCCAGTGCTGCGCTTTCTGGGCTAGATGTCTGCTTTTGTTAAGATGTGGGTTGCCTTACTCTGAGAACCCTCCTAGGCTGGGTTGTTAGTAGGACCATGGAGGGATTCACATGGGGTTAGTTGGAGAAGCTTGGTTTCATTATCCTCTGCAACAGAGCTGCCACATTTGTCCTATAGTTGGTGAGTACTCAGGTTCTGTAAATACTCAGCTGTGTTGTGGCCTGAAAGTAGCCATGCACAGAATACTTAAGGGAGAGAGTGAGACCCTGTTCCGGGACTGTCACAGCACGTCGGGGCTGTTCAAGCCCTGCTCTGAAGGTAGCTCTGAAAGGGAGCAGGGGGCAGCAGACCTGTGCTGTAAGCACGCGTGCAGCCTGAGCGTGGTGGGCTCCCGTGCAGTCAGTGTGCGGAGGACAGGGCGGCCGCGATCGCAGAGAATTCGCCTCTGGCCCTTTTCCAGCCAGAAGTATCAGGGGTTGTTTGTTTTTGAAAGGTTAGTGGTATTTCATAACAAGCTAACATGTTGTGAGTAGTTCAAGTCTTGATAAGGGTATTACTCTGGAGAAGTCTTGGAGTTTTTGTTGTTTTTTGTTTGTTTGTTTTTTTAGACTTTGTGTTTTTCTTTTCTTTTCTTTTCTTTTTTCTGGTACTGGAGATCAAACTCATCACCTTGTACTTGTCTGGTAGGCGCTTGGGCACTGAGCTAAATTCCCGGCCCTGAAGTTGTGTTTTTCTAAAATATCATGCCCAGGTCATTTTTGCTAATGTTAACAATATTTATGTTGACCCAAAGTTAATTCATAAAATTAAAAAGATCACACTGAAAAGAAGGTAAAATAGTGTACCTGTATCTATGTAATATTCCTCCCCCACAACTGAATCCAGTAATTAGTTTTTTATTGGCTTACTTGATTTGTAGGATTGTTTGTTTAAGGAATGAATAGAGCCAGAACCTCACACAGTTTTTGTTTAACTTATCATAGCCACGTTGATCTGAGTAAATTTTCCCTCTCGGTCAACAGATGAAATACTCACTGCTGATGTTTTCAAAGCTCCAGGCCCCACAAAGTACATAAGCAAACTCTTGGTACCCTTGACACGTAAATGCATGATATCGATGTTGTTCTGTAGAGAAACCGCTGGCACCTTCCCAAGTGCAGCTGATCAAAGCCACCACCAGCTCGTTCCATGTGAAGTGGGATGAAGTGCCTACGGTTGAGGGCTACCTTTTGCAGCTGAATACAGACTTGCCGTACCAGGCCGCCTCAGCAGATTCCTCAGCAGCACCAAATGTGCCAGGTGAGACCATGGTTCTGCTCCAGGAAAATATGTCTGTTCATATGCTTTGTAAAAAGTATACTGCATCCAAGATGTGGTGATACATACCTGTGATCTCAGCACTCAGGCAGCTGAGGCAGGAGGGTTGCTGTCAGTTTGAGACTAGTGTGAGCTTCATAGCAAGACCCTAAAACCCAAAAAAGAAAAACAAGGAGCCGGGGGCTTAGCTCAGTGGCATAAGTACCTATCTGGCAAGTGTGAGGTCGTGAGTTCAATTCCCCAGTACAAAAAAAAAAAAAAAAAAACAAAAAAGAAAGAAAGAAAAATAAAAGTATACTGCAAGGAAAATCTGTGCCTAGAGTTAATTTAAGAAAATTAGGTTCCGATGGTCCACACCCATAGATAATGGACTGTTGTACCATTATGCTAGAGACACTGACACATAGATATGTAGGATACATTTTGATGGGTTTGAAGTTTTATGTTATTTGCACTCAGGCATTTTTAAGTAGCTTCAAAAAGGTTTCACCTACATCTTGAAGGTATTTGGAGGAACAGATACCTCCTAGGAAAGCCTTGACACCAGTGATAAGGTTATTTAACATCAGACATCTACAAACATCAACACAGAAACCAAACTAAAATAGAAAATAGAAAAAATGACAATATAAAGTCGCAAAATGCAATCACAAATGCCCAGCCCACACAGGAAAAGTCCACAGCACAGAGACAGAGGAAATCCGAAGCCAACAAATGGAACTCTCTAAGTGATAGCAGCAGAAGTGAAAAAACAAATGGAAGAGACAATAGAAAAAATCTCAGAGATACAAAAAGAAACGACTATCAAAAGACACTGAAGCAGACACAGATGAACAGATAGAGGAGCTTAGAAAAATGATGGAAACCATGAATGCCAAACATAGATAAGAAATAGAATCAATGAAACATCAAAACAGAAATGTAGGAGGTTAGAAATTCCACTGAAAGTGTACACAGCAGAGCAAATGAAGGCAAGGAGAGAATATGAGATCTAGAAGACAGGAACACAACTAGCAACCAGGAAAACAAAGGTATCTTTAAAATAGCAAGAGACAATGGAAAATCAGTCCACCAGCTACAGGATGAAACAAAGAACAACCAGAAAAGACGAACTGGAATCAGTGAGAAAGCCAGAGGCAGCACAAAAGCCATTAAAAACCTTTTCACAGAAATAATGGCAGAAAACTTCCCAAACATGGACAAAGAATTTGACATAAAAATAAATAAAGTATATAGAACTCCAAATAGTCATAACCAAAATAAATCTACCCAAAGGCATATAATAATCAAGATTCTAGAAATTTAGCACAAGAACAAAATACTAAAAGCAGCTGGAGAGAGGAAATGAATCTCCAATAAAGCAAACCCATCAGAATCATGGCAAACTTCTCAACACAAACCCTCAAATCAAAGAGAGCTTGGAGCAAAGTGTTTCAAGCCCTAAAGGAAAATAATCTTCAACCCAGATTGATAGACCTCACGAAAACTATCTTTCAAAATTATTAAGAGACATAAGATACTTCCATGACAAAGAACAAGTGAAGAAATTTATGACCACCAAATCTGCTCTACAGAATGCTCTGAAGAATGTACTAGAAAAAGATGACAAAGACCAGAATCACATGAGCACCAGTAGAGAGAAGCAGCCAGGCAAGGCAAGCAGTTAAACAGAAGAGAAAAAGAGCAAACAGGAAAACAACATGAAAAAGAAAAACCTATACATGTCAGTTATAACCACCAATGTAAGTGACTTCATCAGTAAAAAGAAACAGACTGACAGAATGAATCAAGAAGCAAGACCCAATAATATACTGCATTCAAGAAACACATTTAACCCAAAAAGAGTCAAAGGATGGAAAACAATTCTCCATGCCACAGGAACCCAGAAAAAAGCAGAAAGATAGTTATTCTATTTGCAGACAAAACTTTAAGCCAAATGGCAAAAGAGGCAAAGGTCACTACATACTTGTCAAGGGAAAACTCCAGGAAGAGATTACAATCATAAATATTTATGCACCAAACACAGGTTCATCCAACTACATAAAACAAATACAGATGTGAAAAAGCAAATAAGTGCTAACACGTAGTAAAGGACCTTAATACCCCACTCTGACAAATAGATCAGCTGGACGAAATTTACTGGAGCTAAACCAAGCCGGTGAACAAATGGATTTGGTAGACGTCTACAGAGTGTTCCACCCCAGAACATCAGAATATACACTCTTCTCAACTGTGCGTGGGATGTTCTCCAAAATGGTCTGTATGTTAGTCTGTATGTTAGCTGACAAAACATGTTTAAGTAAATGTAGAGGAATTGAAGTCATTTCATACATACTGTTTGATCAGAGCACAATGGAATTAGAAATAAATGACAGAAAATCACAAAAACTACATTAACACACAAATTAAACACCAATGTTCTGAACAACCGGTGGATCACAGAGGAGATTAAAGATGAAATGTACAATTAAACGATAATGCTGACAACATACAGAAACTTACAGAACACAATGACAGCAGTCCTATGGGGGAAATTTACAGTGATGAGCTCACACATCTGGAAAACAGAATGAGCTCAAATAAACAACCTAATGTTGTACCTCAGACTTTTAGAAAAAGAAGAACAAATCACCCCAAAGTACATATGAGAGAGGAAATTATAAAGAGCAGAAATTAATGCAGTAGAGACTAAGAAAACAAAGAATCAGTGAATCAAAAAGTTTGCTTTTTAAAAGATTAAATAAAACTGGTAAAGCATTAGCCAACCTCATCAAAAATAAGAAAAAACACAAACTCAAGCAATTAGGAATGAAAAGGGGGAAATCACAAGAGATTCCACAGAAATCCAGATCATTAATACCTACTGTGAGAACTCACATTCTAATAAGGTAGAAAACAAAATGGACAGGTTCCTAGACACAATCAAATTGCCCAAACTAAATCAAGAAGATATAAAAATTCTAAATCTGATATCAGCCAATGAAATTGAAAATCAAATTAAAAATTTACCAACAAAGAAAAGCCTAGACCATGACATATTCACTTGAATTGTATGGGAAATTTAGAGACAAACTAATACCACTAATGTTGAAACTTTTTAAAGACATTGAAAGAGAAGCAGTACTTCCAAAACTGTTCCTGGAAGTATTAACCTGATTCCAAAACTGGAGAATGGAACCAAAAACGTACAGGCCAGTCTCCTTAATGAACATAGATTCAAAAACTCTTAACAAGATACTGGCGAATAGAATGCAGCAAATCATCAAGAAGATTGTACATCATGACAAAGTAGGATTCATCCCAGGAGTGCAAGGATGGTTCAGTGTGTGCAAATCAATAAATGTAATATACCATATTAGCAGGACCAAAGACAAAAATCACATGATCATCTCAATAGATGCAGAAAAGGCGTTTGACAAAGTCCAACAACCATTCATAATAAAAACCCTCCAGAAAATTGGAACAGATGATCTTTACCTCAATCTTATAAAAGCCATGTATTACAAACCAACAGCTAACATCATACTAAGTGGTCAAAAACTGAAAACTTTCACTCTAAAATCAGGAACAAGACAAAGATGTCCATTATCATCACTGTTGTTCAATACAGTTCTGGAAACATTACCCAGAGCAATTAGACAAGAGAAAGAAAGGAAAGGAATAAAGAATAGGTTAAATTATCATTATTTGCAGATGACATGGTATTATACCTAGAAGACCTCAAATACCCCACCAAAAAACTTGTAGATACAGTATTCAAATTCAGTATTGTAGCACGATACAGAGTCAGTGCTCAAATGGCAAGCCAGGGATTTAGCTCAGTGGCATAAGCATCTGCCTGGCAAGTGCAAGGTTGTGAGTTTGATCCCCAGTATAAAAAAAAAATTCATAGCATTCTTGTACACAAGCAACAAACTCGCATAGAAGTTAGGGAAAGCACACTTTATACAACAGCATCTAATAAAATGAAACACTTAGGAATCAATCTAACAAAGGATGTAAAAGATCTGTACAGTGAGAATTACAGTACCCTAAAAAAGGAAATTGAAGAGGGTATCAGATAATGGAAAGATATTCCTTGCTTTTGGATAGGAAGTACCAACATAGTGAAAATGGCCACACTCCCAAAAGTGCTGTACAGATTTAGTGCAATCCCAATCAGAATGCCAATATCATACCTCACAGATCTAGAGAAAACATTCCTAAAATTCATTTGGAACCAGAAGAGACTTAGAATAGCAAAAGCAATTCTGGGCAACAAAAGACAAGTCAGGTGGGCATCATAATCTGGGATGTGAAAGCAAACTACAAAACTACCATGGTAAAATCAGCATGGTATTGGCGGAAAAAAAGGCCTGAGGATCAGTGGACTAGAATAGAAGATGCAGACACAACGCCAAACACACTCAGCCACCTTATCATTGACAAAGGAGCAGAACTTGTTCACTGGAAGAACATAGTCTCTTTAATAAATGGTTCTGAAAAAACTGGCTCTCCACATGCCAAAGACTAAAACTAGACCCATGTCTATCACCATGCACCAAACTAAAGTCAAAATACTGAAAGATCTAAATCTTAAAATAGAAACACGAAATTTACAAAGAATCAACAAACAGGATCTTACCTTGTTAAAAAGCTTTTGCACAACAAGAGAAACCAACAGTGAAAAAACAACTGATCGAGTGGGGAAAAAGTTATAGCCAGTTGTCCCTTAGACAAAGGATATGTGTATCTAGAACATACAAAGAATTGAAAAAGATCAAGCCCCCAAAATTCAAAAACTCAATCTAAAGAAGGACATCAGAGGCACACTTATCAGATGGAGAAACACAAATGACAAGTAAGTGAAGCCAGGTTCCACATCATTGGTCATTCCAGAACAAATTAAACGCTGGGATTCCATCTCACCCAGAAAGAATGGCTGTCATTGCAACATCAGCTAATAGAGGCTGGGGGTTTAGTTCAGCGGCATAAGCACCGGCCTGGTAAGCACAAGGTCCTGAGTTCAATCCCTGGTACAAAAAAAATGGGCCGATAACAAAGGCCGGAGGGGCTGTGGGGAAAAGGAACCCTTCTCAGTGTTGGTGGGAGTGTAGACTGGGGCAGCCACTGAGGATGTAGGTGTGGAGAGTCCTCAAAAGAGTAGGAGTGGAAGTCCCATTAGACCCATCTATTCCCCTTCTGGGTATCTTCCCAGAAGAATTAAAAACATACCACAGTGATGTATGTGCCCCCATGTTTTTAGCACAATTTGTAACAGCTAAATCTTAACAAACCAAATGTACATCAACCAAGGAATGGATGAATAGATACAGGTATTTTATATAATGGAGTACTGCTTGGCCATAAAGAATAAACTGGAGACTTTTATAGGTAAGTGGATGCAACTTGAGAGCATACTTATACGTGAGATAAATCAGACTCATGCTAACATCATATTAGTGTCTCACTAGCATGGAAAGCTGGCTGAGTAAGTGAGGTCCAAAGTGTCCACTACGTCCTGGGAACATGGGAGAAACTGTTCAGAAGAAAGGGCAGACTGGGGAAAGGGAGAAAGAAAAAATACGTTTACACAGAAGACAGTTCAGATGGTTATATGGCTAGTTGCTCTTAGTTCATTGAAAAGAAAGGTTTGTACTAACATTGTTTGGACAAGATATCATGACTGTATCTTGTACTTTGAATCACTACTATGAAGACACTACAATAATATGCAATGTATTAATTGTTTTAAGTCTCCTACTAACCTATTTTGTCTTTTTTTTTTTTTAATCGGTACCAGGGATCAAACTCACGACTGCCTGCTTGCAAGGCAGGCGCTTATGCCGCTGAGCTAAATCCCCAGCCTCCTACTAACCTATTTTGAAACTCTTGTTTTATTGGGTTTTTTTCTCTTTAAAAATGATTTCACTTTCTTTTTTGGTTTTTTGAGACAGGGTCTTGCCATGCAGTGTAGGGTGGCCTTGAGCTCTCTGTACAGCCCAGCTCCCCTCAAACTTGGAGCAATCCTCCTGCCTCAGCCTCCCAAGTGCGGGGACTGTAGTTATACACCAACATACCTGGAAGATTGCGCCTTTTTTCAAAAGTATTTTTAACTAAAGGGACATTTTTGGAAGGAAAAAAAGCAAGCTTAATTTTATACCTTATTCAAAATGGATATCAAGTATTAAGCCAACTATTGAGAGAACAGGTAAACTGTGATACCGATGCTCTCTTCTGGATCTTTGCTCTGACTTTAAAAGTCCAATTGTATTTCCCCGGAGCGGTGGAGCTCACAGCAGTGTGAACTTTCTTGTCCCACAGGAGGGCGGGCGGAACCTCACAGACCAGGCAGCAACAGCCTCCTTCCTCACGGGGTAAGTGGAGACCTGCTGAGTGGTGGTGGCAGCCTGGTGGACCAGGGTTTCTAGAACAGTCCTCCAGCCCGGGGTCCTCTGCCCCGGCTGCTTGTCAGGGTCACTTTGTAAAGAAAGCTGCGGGCTGCTGTGTAGCTGGGTGGCAAAGCAGTGGCCTGGAGTCGTGAGGCCCCATGGGACCCTCAGCACCACAGAAATCCAGGGCAAGAGAGCGCTGCCGGCTGCCTCAGTGTGGCCTGAATCGAGAGCCTTGGGCCTCTTTACCCAGAGGGTCAGAGGTGCGGGTTAGAGCTGATTATGTGTCTTTATTTTTCTGAAAGTAACAGCTAAATCTTAACAAACCAAATGTCCATCAACCAAGGAATGGATAAAATAGATGCAGGTGTTTTATATAATGCACGCAAATCTAAATTTCTAAGGATGCACATTAAGTCCCTGACCTGTCAGCGGGTTCTGTTCCCGGGGAATTGTGCCTGGGTTGGGTCGTTGGTGAAGGACGGTGAGTGGGCACGGCTCCCGTGAGAGCTGCGCCCCAGTCTTGGTAAGTGCTTTAATAATGCGTCCCTGCACTCTGGCGGTATTGGGTGCGTTTCCTGTTAACCAGGCTCTTGCTCCACAGTGAGTCCTGGCGGGAGCTGCACAGCCTGGGACTCGCACAGGGTAGAAGGCGGAATCCAGGGCCAGGGACTCTCAGAGCCCAGAGCCGGGCTGCAGCCCTGAGCCCTCGCTCTGCACAGAGTGTGCCGCCTCGGGTGCTGTCATCCAGACGCGGCGCTGGGCAGCAGTGGGGCGACGCTGGGCTGTTGGACACTTACCTTTCCTCCTGTCTGTGGTCACTCCACACCCAGGCGTGGGGTGGACGCCTCTGGTCTCTCCTCAGTGCTCCCCACCTTCTGGAGCTGTCTTCAAGCCCGACCTGGCTCTGGTCCTCGTGGCCTTCGCATGGGTTCACGCCACTGGTTTTTCATACTTTTTTTTTTGTCTTTTTCCTTTTTATCGGTACCAGGGATCGAACTCACGACTGCCTGCTGCTTGCAAGGCAGGTGCTTATGCCACTGAGCTAAACCTCCAGCCCCCTCATACTCTTTTCCCAAGCTGGGGCCGTGTCTCTTCACCTTGTTGCTGTTTCCCGCTGTTTTCTTTCCTTACTCAGGACTTGTCTAGTAGGCCCGAGAAAGGTCAGTCAGTGCTCTGAGATCTTGTGTTGCCGAGTATCTCTTTATTCACATTTTACTGATCGTCTTGACTGGTTATAGAATTGTGAGGTACAGACACACGATAGCTGGGAGCATTACACTACCGATTCCTGTTAGTTCATTGAAAAGAACATTTGTGCTCACATTGTCTGATCAGTGTTTCATGCCTACACCTTGTAATCTGAGCAAACACTTTGAAGATAACAATACCCAATCTGTTAACCATTGGTGATCAGTTACCTGTTTTGAAATTCTATATTACTGCTTTTTCTCTTTATAATAAAGGAATCCTGTATTGGAAAACTTCCCTCCAGAAATTTGAAAGCATTTTCTTTCTTCCTTTACAACTCGGTGCTGCTGTGGAAGGCTTTGGGTTCTCAATCTTTTATATGTGACCTTTTCCCCCTCTTGATCGCAGTTTTCCGCGGTTTTGGTTCGGCATGACCCGCTTCGCAGTGGCTCTTCAGCGTTCTCACTGTGCACACAGTGCGCCCGTTTTGTAGAAGCTCATGGCTTCTCACTGATAGTGTCTTCCCTCTATTTGAGCTCAGCTTTTAGACCTGGGAACTAAACCCAGCAGCGTGCTACATTCCTAGTCCTTTAAACTTTCATTTCGGGTGAGGTCTCGGCTGCACTGCCCAGGCTGCCCTTGAGCTCGGCCCCTTCCTGCCATGCAGCCCGGTGCAGGCCTGCCGCACCGGCCGCTCACTGCCCCTTCCGCCGGTGGGTGCAGCTGCTGCTGGCCCAGATGGCTGAGCCGAGTTCTAGTTCCCATTTCTCTTCCTGTCTACTCTACTTCCTGAAGAAGCTTTTTATTTTGCATTGTAAATTCAGTATTTAAATGTATTCACCACACTCTCTATAGCATGGTACTCGGGCTTCATAAATGCAATCTCTTCCTTTATCTTTTTAGAAATGAAGCCTTTAGCACACGCATTCTGTTCTGCTCTGAAGATTGCTTTTTTCGGGCTCCTTTTACTCCTAATTTTGAACTTGGCAATAGAGGCACCAGCCGGCCTCGGTGCTACACAGGGAGCAGGTGCCGGGGCCTGGTGCCCGCCTGGCGGGCGCAGCTCAGCAGGCGAGCAGAGGGTCCTGGCTGGGACCCCGCCTTGGGGAAGCCAGGTGTGAGGGTGCTGTTCCGCACCCCAGAGCCCCACAGCCCAGCTTCCCCCCTTGGAGTCGGGGAGGGGAACCTGCTGGCTCCATGCGGCCCCACACGGGCGGGGGCTCAGCCTCCTCCCGGCTGCACTGCCCACCCTGCCCCAGGCGCCCCCATGCCATTTACCTACAGGCGCCTGGTGACCCGGGCAGTACCTGTACTTTTTCCTACTATACTTTCCTTGCAATTATTTGAATTTTTTTGGAGGAATTTCCTGAAATACATATTTTAATTATGCAATTTAACCAAAACTCTTAGGGTTTGTTCCTTCCTTACCTAATTCTAGTGAAATTACCTGATTTTTAAACAAGGCATGTTCAAAGACATCACAGCACGAAGGGCAGTGTGCTAATGGCTGTCCTTACTGATAGGATTATTTCCAAAAGATGAAAAGTATTTCCAAAAGATGAGAAGTATAAAACAAAAAGCAGCCTTCATTCTGAGAACACGGAGAGAGATGACCAGCACCCCTCACCTCTGGAGTCCGGTGATCTCTCCAGCGGACACATGGCGTGGGGGGTATGTAAGTAGCCTCGGTTTGGGGTGGAACCTAAGGGGGCATCAGGGATGCACGGGCAGCCCATTGGTCCTAGGTTTGGCGCCATAGGCAAATTCCCAGTGGCGGGGAAGACGATATCCCAGGTAAATTCCTAGGGGCGGAGGAGATAGGGGCTTCCTGATTCCGGTTACAGTGTCCAGCCTGGGCCAAAAGCCTTTCATATCCCGTCTTATTATTATTATTATGAAAAGGGGTGAAGATTTCTCTCTCTCTCTCTTTTTTTTTTTGTCTTTTTCCTTTTCATCGGTACTGGGGATTGAACTCACGACTGCCTGCTTGCAAGGCAGGCGCTTATGCCGCTGAACTAAATCCCCAGCCCCGAAGATTTCTCTCTTTAACTACTTCCTGCTGGCAGAGGGCACTGTACTGGAACCTAGGGGAGTCGACGGGGTGACGGTTGATGCCCAGGTAGAAGCTGGTGTTTTAGCCAGGACAACTTCACCGGTGAATGCACATATGTTAGACTGGAAAAACAGACAAGATGTTATGAGGAGACATGGCACTGTCATATTTAAGGACACAGGTAAGGTAGAAGGAAAGGTGCCTTTGATTTAAACATGTCATTATATCAAGACGTCATTGAGGTAGGAACATTTCCACCGTAAGGCAGAATTCTGAAAATTAAATATGGGGTTAGGAGGAGTGAAGTTATGAGAGGTGATTACTCTCCCATCTGAAAGCATAAAAGTTAAGAGGGTAGGTGTATAAAACTTGGCTCTGGTCCAAGAGTTGAACTGGAAAAAATAGGGGGAGCAGGGAAGGCAGTGGCTGTACCAATATAGGGAAGGTAAGGGCTTAGGCTTTCAGGGATGTCACATTTAACCAGACAGCTGAGGGTAGAAAGAACCGCGACTGTTATCATATAGAACATTATGAAGATTATTTTACGCATGATGTGGGAGTCTTTAGGAAAGACTGTCAAGAGTCCTGCTGTAAAACTGATCATTAATAGAATGTAAGGAATTAGGAACCAAAGTGGATAGCAAAACATGACTTAGCCTGTTAACTGTGGCTGCGAGGCCTTTGTGAGACGGAGACGGGTGGGCAACAGAAGATGAGATGACAACTCAGAATGATCAGATTTAGGGCTGGAAGGGCACCTCTTAGCCTGAGTGATGTGAAACCAGGATGGGAGTCCAGCAATTTTGATTCAGGCATGGGTCGCTGTGACCTGGTTGTATCAGCAGTTTACCTGGTTGTGGGAAAGGCTTTTATGTATCCTGAAAAAGTATAAACAAAGTGAGAAGACAAAATATATCTGTCAGTCTTGACCAGGGTTGTCTGAGAAATTGATGAATAAGAAAGGAAGGGGGTGGTCTTACATCACTGAGGAAGGGACCACCAGTGACAACAGGTGGAAGCTGCCGAGGCCTCAGTGTGTCTAAGTGAGCCTGCGTAAACACAAGGGAGTGAAAGCATTTTAAGATTTAGGACTGGGACCTGCACGAAATAGGCCCTGTTTATAAATGGCATAGGCTGACCATCAATACCCCATCATAGAGATTGAGGACTTAATATAGCAGCCTGAAAACTCAGGAAGAACTCTGAATATATGGCCTCTATGTTCACAAATAAAGAGAATGTCTTACCTAAGAGTTTTAGTGGAACTTGAACTCCGAGACGGACACCCACAAAGGGGGCTGCTGGCCCTGAGGCCCCTCAGTCTTCAGCAGCAATTTTTTTCAGCGATGAATCTGGCAGTGTTGACATTTCCTGTGAGGGCTAGAAGTTGGAATGGCTTACCCACTCTCTGGTGGCTAGGACAGTCCAACAGCCCTGGAGTAAGGTCTCAAAGAATGCCAGGATGGGGCATTCTCTTGCCCAGTGTCTTCTGCTGCATTTGAGCGTGGTCCATGGGGGCCCATGCAGCTCCACCTTGTGTAAGTTTACCTGCCTCAGAACTCCAAGTGTCAAAAGTGTTAAAAATATGAAAAACCATATTAAGTTCTCTCTAAGTTTTTTTTTGTCTTTTTCCTTTTTATCGGTACTGGGGATCGAACTCACGACTGCCTGCTTGCAAGGCAGGCGCTTATGCCGCTGAGCTAAATCCCCAGCCCCTGATCTCTCTAAGGTTTGAAGGTCAAGTTTTGCCTTTTTGTTTGGGATTTGGACTACAGTAGAATTAAGTAAGTATGTAGGAGTTTAATATTGGCATTTGAGATCAGAGAGTAGGCTTTATCTGGATGGCACACCGCTTTTTTTTTTATAGGGTACCACATGGAATTAACAAAAAGGGTTTTAGTCTTCCCAAAAAGGCTTCAGTCTGCCCTCTCTCTTTTGGAGTATAATCTCATTTTAATGGAAACATTTTATAGTAAAGGTTTACCAATCTTATGAATATTTCTACCAAAACTGATCTAGTATTTTTAAGTTCTGAACACGTTTATTTGTTTTTAAACCTAAACAGGAGATTAGCGACAACAGAGTATAATGTAGGCAATAAGCTGCAGGCAGTAAACTCAACATATAATAGTAGTGGTGGTCTACAGCAAAAGGAATTGATAAATATCTTTTAATTTTAGTCGTTAAAACAGGAGATTAGTGAAGGCCTTGATTGATAAACAAGGCTGGTAAAATTACCAAGAGGCCACTAACCTTGATTAAATGGTTTAAGAATTGTAATAAAAAATAGCATCTCTTGAGTGGAGCCAAATTGTAAAAAAAAAGCATGTCTGAGTGGAGCCGCTGAGCTGTTGTTTTGCAGCATGCCAGCAGAGCACGCCCGGCATGGGGTGGGGCGAGCGTTGGGACGTAGTGCACAGGGGCGGGCTGGACTGCCCCCGGAAACGTGTAAGGCGGCGGCAACAATGGCGAACAGGGAAGTGAAGGGCTGGGAGGGCACATCGGGGAGGGGCTGGGAGGTGGCCCGATGCAGTGCACAAAGCTGGAACTGCTCGCGGGGGTCGAGGATTAGAAAGCCAATTTAGGAACACAGCTGGGTTTTGATTAGCCTCCTGGACCTGTTATAAAAGTCTGTTGTAGTTAGTGTGCTTGTGAGCAATATTGTTAAGGCCCACAATCAGACATTGAATCACCTTATGTAATTTTGTTGAACCCTGTCCATTCTGATAGTTCCAGTTAGGATCTTGTTCTGGCACAGCTGCAGGCCCAGGGTCATTATCAGCAGTGTTTGCCTTGTGCCTGCGGTCAGCTTCTTCTCCAGCTGCTTGCCACAGCTGATTTTGTTCTTGTGAGCTGAGAGTGGTATTTAGAATCACATAAACATCCTTAGAATGTAAATCATAACAATTAGTAATAAATTTAAATGGCCTGATATAATTCTGTGGGTCAACAGAGAAGCTACTTAATTTATGGGTAATCTGAGACAGATCAGAAAGGGAAAAAGGCACATGTATATTAACAAGTCCCTCGGGGCCAGCTTGCTCCCGAGTGGCAGCAGAGCTTGAGGAGAAGAATGAGGAGTAGAGGGCCATTGAGCAGCCATCCGTCTGGTAGATGCTTGTGAGGAATATCTGTAGAGTGGCTACAGAGCGGCTACCTGTTATCCTGGGATGAGGAAACACAGGCAGATGGCATCTCACTGTGTGCCTTGCAGCGAGAGAATTGCTGTCGGCAGCACAATGAACCATCATGTGGACCACAACAGGGTGGCTGTTGCTGTTCACAAGAGGAGCCACAAGGGGGCGCCCATTGACCGTGAGTTCCATCCCAAGGTGGCACCCTGTCATGTGGTGGAGGGTTGCAACATGGCAACCATTGTTCTGGCACAAGCTGGAACAATCGCGTGGCTTGCCAGAAGGGCACAATGACTGAGATCAGGTATGGTGGGCAGGCAGCGAGAATGCTGTAGAGGTCAGAGAATTATCAGGAGAAAGGGTCAGAGACTTTGAGGAAGCGCTAACAGAGTGATTAGAGTTGCTGGGAGAGTTATGGGTCCCGGAAGGTGGAGAGGGAGATGATCGCACATCGGGAGGTAACTGCGATGCATTGGGACCAGGACTGCTGAGAGAATCAGGCATAGGGAGAGGGGAGAGCAGTCCAGCGGGAGCTAACGGCAGGGAACGAGTTTGGGGGTAGGCAGGCGGCAGCCGGGAAAAGACCGGAGGAATGTCATCAAGCGAATCCTGAGGGCAGGACAGAAAAGTTCGCAGTGCGGTAGAGTTAGCTAAAAGTATCTGAGCGGGAGCACAAGACTTAATGAGAGACAGGAGTGTTCTCAGAATAAGAAAGGCCTGAATATAAGGGAGTTCTAATAACTTGTCGCCGGCCTGACAGAAATCATACAAGTTCCTGAGAATGCAGGGGTCAAATGTTCCTTCCTTGGGCCAACGATTGCCACTAAGCGGGTGGGTTGGCCAGACCTCCTGGCAGTAAAAAGTTAAGTGTTTAGTTTTTATGGTACTTTTAATTTTTAGAGTACGTAAATTGGAAATTAGGCATTGTAAAGGTGTCTTTTGAGTGTTAGAAAATAGGTTTCCCATGACTGATTCAGGCAAGAAATAAGCCAGTGGTCCAGAACAAGCCGTCACTTGCTTGTGGCACCACAAGGTGGCTAAGGTTCCAAAAACTCGTATATTCCAGTTGTCACTGAGAGATTTACGAGTGGAGCCCACGTGGGGTCAGTAACAGTTTTGCCCGTGAAAGCGCGAGGCTTTAAGGGAAGTGAGGGCCTTTCAGTGTGGGCGGTCCAAAAATCTCTGCTTTGGGCTATCCGAACCCAAAGAACGTGAGAGATTTTAGAGTGTGGACACAGGTTTGCCCAGAAAGAACCCTGCCCTGGGCTGTCTTCATGACGTGAAAATGCACAGACCCATGTGAACAGGGAGAACAGTCGACTGGGGCTGCCCAGTGCCAAGAGTTCCCCGGGGAGTGCTCACCTGAAATCAATCTGGCCGATGGTGAGTGCAGGCAGCTGGCGACAAGGACTTCTCGGGAGAGGAAAAAGCGCGGAATTAATCCAGGCTGTTACCTGGTTTGTGAATTGGCCGGGGGCTCAACTGGGGGTGTCCCAGGAGTCAGTCGCCTGCTGATTGAGTCACAGCACCAAATGATAGGATTATTTCCAAAAGATGAAAAGTATTTCCAAAACATGAGAAGTATAAACAAAAAGTGGCCTTTGGAAAAAAAAAAAAAAAGACAGTCTTTGGCAACCCACACAGACCCTTTCTGTCTCTCAGACAGCTTTCCTTCTCCCAATAAATATATTCCACTCTTAAAAAAAAGAGACCAAAAAGCGGCCTTTATTCTGAGAACACAGAGAGAGACGACCGGCACCCCCCACCACTGGAGTCCCGAGAGCTTTCTAGCGGACACATGGCGTGGGGGGTATGTAAGTAGCCTCGGTTTGGGGCGGAACCTAAGGGGGCATCAGGGATGCACGGGTAGCCCATTGGTCCTAGGTTTGGCGCCATAGGCAAATTCCCATGGGTGGGGAAGATGGCATCACATGTAAATTCCTAGGGGCGGGGGAGATAGGGGCTTCCTGGTTCTGGGTACAGTGTCCGGCCTGGGCCAAAAGCCTTTCACTTACCACCACGTTCATTAACAACGCCGTCACCACGGCCAAGTGGAGGGCGGTTCCAGGCACCTGAGGGGCAGCCTTAGGGCCGGGGAGATTGCAGAGCTCACGGTCAAGGGGGACGGAAAAGTAACAAACACCAACCACTGGCTGCCACGTAAAAACGTGGGTTTTCAGCTGGGCCCTGTGGTACAGGCCTGGAGTCTCTCCCACGGGGAAGACTGAGGCAGGAAAGTCCAGCTGGATAGTGTTTGGAGGACGCCCTCTCACATCCAAAGCCTCCCCGTGTCCGTCCCTGCCTCTGCTCCCCAACCTGGCCTTCGGAGCACGGAGACGCAGGACAGTTTTCTTCAAAACTGCTGTAGGCCTTGAGGAACAGTTCTGTACCGACTAACTTAATTTTTCAGTGTTTCACATTTTTAAAGCATTTCCTCGCAGATGATCTGCTTTGCCTTGCGTGCGTCTTGTTTCAGGGAACAGCGCTTGCTACAGTAAACTGTCTTATTCTTGTAGATCAGCGATGCAGTAAACAGTGCAAAAACGGAGCACCCAGCCGCGAAAGGAGTTTCAGGGAGAAGCAAACCGGATTTCAAAGCGGATTTGAGCACCAGTTTACGTCCCCTTCTGGCGCCTGGTGCCTCTAACCATAACAGCTGTGCGGCGGACGTGCTGAGGGACAGTGAAGGTACGGGCAGCGCTGACACACAGCCAGACTTCCGTGACATTGGCGGGAGCATGCGAACTGCTGACAGCCTGTGGTTTCCATCCATTTCCCAAAAACGAAATCCCCACCGTGTCGGCTGTGGTCCGAGCTGAAGGCAGTGGGCCGGCCACCAGCAGAGGGGACGCGGGCCTGGAGTTGGAGGGCGGCTGGCCCGCGACGTGTGGGCGGCCAGTGCGGTTAGGTCCCTGCCCTTACTCACTTTCTAAGAACGTTAAGTATATGAAATCACTCTTTGGGCGTGGATTCTTATCTTAGCTCTGAGCTTGGTAAACAGTGAATATTTGTTTAGCAAGTAACTGGATTATCCTTGGAAAGAGTTCACCTATGAGAACTGTGATCAGTCCTTATCGTTTGGTGATGTTTGTATCTGCATATTCTGATGACATTTGAGATACATTAAACCTTGCCTCTGAGGTGAATGTCTGAAATTTATTTTAAAATCTCATTCTGAGGGCTGGGGATTCAGCTCTGCAGCATGAGTGCCCATCCGGCAGGTGCAAGGTTGTGAGTTCAATCCCTGGTACCAAAATAATAATAATAATAATAATAAAACCATACAAGACACAAAAATCTCATTCTGATCCGTGACATAAGAACATATAATTATTTTTATGGGGCTGGAGATTTAGCTCAGCGGCGTAAGCGCCTGCCTTGCAAGCAGGCAGTCGTGAATTCGATCCCTGGTACCGATAAAGAGGAAAAAGACAAAAAAAAAAAAAAAGAACATATAATTATTTTTATTTAAAAAACATTCTGTGTGATATAAAGCTAATTCTTTAATGATTCAAATTTAGTAAGATGAGTTCTTTTCTTTTTCATTTTCTTTGAATCCTTGTTAGATAAAAATACTCAGGGGACATCATTTCCCTCACGTACTTGGAGGAGAGGAGAGCACTTTTGCTTTATTGACTTCCTAGATATAAAGGAATTATTAGTCATGTTTATAAAATCTTAGTTCTGGACTTCAATGTAAATTATCTTATACTGATTTTCTGTGTCTTTCAAAAAAAAAAAAAAAACGGGGGCTGGGGATTTAGCTCAGCGGCATAAGCACCTGCCTTGCAAGCAGGCAGTCGTGAGTTCGATCCCTGGTACCGATAAAAACGAAAAAGACCAAAAAAAAAAAAAAAAAAAATCTGTTCTTGGAAAACAGATCTGAGCTTTGAGGCCTCAGCACCCTCTGGCGCGCTGCGTCCCAGCCCGAGGCAGTTTGGGTGAGGCATGCGCAGCTCAGCTGTGTCGGGATGCTGCCTGTTCCAGGCCGATGCCAGCGGGCCTGAACGTGACTGCGTTTGTACAGGAGCTCTCAGGCCTCACCGTGGGGACAAAATGCAGTGGCACGTGGTTGGATCACTTGTCGGGTTCCTGGGGGACCCTGGAGGTGCGGTAGAGGAAGGGAAACGCCGCTGCAGACACAGGCGGCTGCCTCCACGGGACCCAGCAGCTGTAGACACGAGAAGGAAAGGGCGCTGAACACAATGCCCAGGCTTTCAGCTGGACAGCATGGATACCGCTGCTGTCCACCAGACGGGAAGCCCAGAGCACAGCGGCTTTGGGAAAGGGTCAGCTTTGAATTTACTGTCTCTGGGGCACTCGAGGGACCTGCGTCGAGGATGTCTGACCGAGGTGGTGTGTCAGATGGCCTCAGTAGGAAGCGCACTTTCAGAGCCGACGCTGCAGCCTGCTGGATGCCAGCGCCTGGTGCAGTGCCTGATTCGTAACTGAGGTTTAAAATGCCGCCAGGGAAGAGGCAGCTTAGCAGCAGATAAAGCATGATTTGGAGAAAGGAAACTGCTGAAGAGGTGGAGAAGGGGGCCTGAGGGCTGGGAGGAGACAAAACAGACGCTTCCGGGGCAATGTCGTCACAGGTGGAGACAGCGTGGGGGGCTCTGCGTGGGCACCAGTGAGCCGCCCTCCCTCCTGCCCCGTCGTGGGGAGCAGCGGTGTCTGGCGGTGGATGGCCGTGTGGCCCGCGTGCGTGAGTGAACTGAATCGCAGAGGAGCGGCCACACAGCAGGACGCGTGGTCAGTCCTGTTTCCATTGCAGAAGGCTCGGATAAAGCTTGAGGTGTCGCCTGTAGAAGGCCTTGCTGTTCCCCAGAGCCACTTCATAGCGTCCTATGGCCAGGAGCCTGGCAGCTGGGGACTGGTGGGCAAGGAAGACTCATGTGCCCTTGCCTGAGAAACTCGGTGACCTGAAATCCCCGAAGGGAAGAGTGCTTGCATGAAGGTCTCAAGACACAGGACAAGGAGTGGGAGCCCGGTCCCCGGGGGACGATGAAGTCGTCAGAAGAGGGGCAGAGGCGAGCACGGCCGCAGCGCGTTCCGGCTGGGGACAGGAAAAGGTGGAGACTGCAATGGCAGCAGCCGGACAGCCGCTTGGCTGCAGCGCATTTTCCTCTGAACGTTACGGCCGGGGGTCCCGTGCTTCTGATCTCAGAACCAGAAGTACCAAGACCCATGTGACAGAAACGGTGAGAGGTCCTAGTTACCTCCAGGTGTCGCACTAATGTTTGGTCTCTCTCCTTTAAACAGGTCCTCACACTTCAGCAGACACGGGTGTGCTGAGCAGTTGCCTGGATTTAAGAACAGCCGTCCCCGACACTTCCGGATCCGGTTCTGTTTTGGGCGCGCAGACTCTGATCTCCCAGCAGGCCATTAAAACCGAGTCACCCAGTACCAATGGCGCGGTGGTCAAGGACGAGGCTCCCCTGGCAGCGCTCAGCACCAAAGCCGAAGGTTCGAGCGGGTCGCACAGGCTGCGTGTAACCACTTAGCTGTGTCGGGCGTATTTTGTCTTAGTTGGGAATTGCATTTCGTATAGAGTTGCGTCCTGTGGAAGCAGGGAAAGCCTGTCAGTTACAATCATTATCTAAAATAGTGTTGCTCCCTTCCGTAAAACACTGGCTTAGGCACCGGAAGTGCACTCAGACTGTGTCTTCCCTACCATAACAGATTCAGCATTTTTCCAAGAAAAGGTTAGTTCTAGACTGCTGCAGCAATTCTCAGCCTGATTGATTTCTGACTTTGTCAATTTTTATTTTACAATTAAGAGCTGTGTCTCTTTTTTGGCGCACATTTTCTGATGTTCTAGCTAGCTGTACGGATTGAGTCAAAGGGTCTGTATTTCTGCTTATTGTGATCTCCGCAGCTACCTTCCCAGTTTCTTCACTGTGGTAAAATAGACACAGAATGAAGTTTAGCATGTTCACCATTTTGAAGTGTGCGGGTCAGCGGTGCTCGGGATCTGAGATGGGTTATAAGTTGGAATGCCCAGTCACTGAGTGACTCCATAAACCTTAATGAGTGAACTGTTTAATTTTTAGTTGATGAGACGTGTGCCCTGCCTGCCACTAAGATCAGCCGTGTGGAGATCCATGCCGCGGCCACGCCGTCCTCCGTAAGTGCAGGGCCTGGCCAGGGTGCACGTTTCCAGGGTGCCGTGTGCTTCTGGCCGGGCAGCTTCTCCGTAACTCTAAAGGAATTCTCAGGGCTCATTTAGCAGGAAATTGGTATAAATTTAGAAGTGAATAGACAAAGGGGAAAATATTCATAATGTAATGTTTAGAGGGAAGAGCCTGATAAAATAGCATGCATGCTGTGCTCCCAATTTTGATTTAAACAATCCACTTAAGGGCTTTGTCTTACTGATACCCTGCAGGCGCACAGGGAAATGCTAGCTGACTGTCCGAGTTGCGGGGCCACGGAGCATTTTGGCTTCTTTCCCTGTTTCCCCGATGGACGCCCAGCCTTCATTGCCGGAAGTGCCTGTGCGTGCGTGCGTGCAAACGCACTGTGAAAAGACGGGCCGTGGTCAGGGCCGGGCAGCTGGCCGGGGCCCTGGCCTCTCACTGCACACAGCGCGCAGCGCGGGGACCGTCCTCCCTGGACCCGGCCCGGCCGGCCCTGATGCTCCTGGTGTCCTGGGAGGCCAGCAGGTGGCACCGGGTGGCCTCAGCGCCAGGTGTAAGGCAGTGCCCCGCACGCAGCCCGGACTGCCTCGGTGGGAGAAATGCAGAGCGAGGATGATGCGTGTGTGTGTTTCAGAGGAGCTTTTTCTTTCCGGTCATTTCAGGCTCGTTGCTGTGAGCAACAGTTCTGTTGGCCTGACGTTTCCCTTTTGGACTCCGGAAGTGCTGTCTGCATTGATTTCTTCCCCTTGTTTGGGTTTGCATCCTCTGTGAACCACCTGGCCTGCTCCTGCCGCCGCCGTTGCGGAGTGTGGAGCCTGAGCCTGGGGACTCTGCTCGGGGAGGGAGCACTCAGATGAACCGTGGCATGGAAGCCTTTGGTAGCGCAGCAGCCAGGACTGTTGTGTTTCAGTCAGAGCCACTTGTTCTGTAAAAGCTGTGGAGGGAATTTTTACAACTTGACAAATGAAGACAAGCTTAAAGATACTCCCTTTTTCCTGAACGCGGGTGGTAGCCTCAGTCACAGGCAGTGGGGTGGTGAGCGTGGCCTCCCGGCTCCGAGTGTAGGCAGAGATAAGGGACTGAAAGCACGTGTGCTTGGAGCTTGTAGAAACAGTGTCCCACTCACACGGAGGTGAGCCCAGGGATGAGGCCAGGTCAGTTAGCACTGGAGGGCGGGGGTCTGTTAAACGCAGGGAGAAGGTAAGCTGTTTCATGGGACCCTCTGCAGTGTGCACTGAAGGGCACACGTTTCCCTGAAGGGACTGCGTGTTCCGAGGTCCGAGTGACGGTGACCTGTCCCGGCTGGCACTTGAACCTGTCACCGGCAGGAAGGCAGCTCACCCCCCGGGCCGGCAGTGCTGGGCTGGCCTGGGGGAGATGCTGGCCGCCCCGCTGCCCAGGCCCCTTCACCGATCTGTGAGCCTTGCTTCGGATGCGCCCTCGACTATGATGCTGCCCGGGTGCCCACCCGCAGGTCACTGCATGGGTTTAGCAGCGCCTGGGGCTTCTGGGCTATTTGATGAGAGCTTCACCTGCTTTTCTCTCTAAAATTAGAAAGAGACACCGTCAAACTCAGTGGCCACCGTGAAAGCCGGGGAACGGCAGTGGTGCGACGTGGGCATTTTCAGGAACAACACGGCGTTGGTGAGCCAGTTTTACCTGCTGCCGAAGGGGAAGCAGGGCACCTCCAAGGTAACCGCCGTGCCTTCCCTCCCCCGGGTCACAGCGGGAGGGAGGCTGCTTTCCTGCCTGGTTCAGGTCGGGTGGGTGGAGTGCGCTGCAGCCTGTAACCGAGAGAGCTCTGTGCGCTGAGTGGACTGGCCTCACTTCTGCGGCTCTTTCTACAGAATGCAGCACAGCACACACATGGCGCTTTAAAAAGTCTTACACGGGGCTGGGGCTGGGGCTGGGGCTCGGTGGCAGAGCTCTTCCCGGCACACACAGGCCCTGAGTTCCATCCCTAGCACCACAAAGAGGAAAAACGGTTTTACAGAGGCTCTGAGCTGGGCTCATGTTATAAAAATCAGTCTGACCAGTTAAAATGAGTATTGTTTTTGAAATGTCTCTAATTTTGTTACATGGTGTGTTTAGAGAATTGTTTTTTTACTGATATTTTTAAGTCGTGATTTCATAATTTAAAAAATTTAAAACCACTATATGCTATTGATTTTCCCTTGATTCTGAGGCTCCTTACGGGGCACTGTGTGGGGCTGGACCTCGAAGAGCTGTGAGATAGGTTTCGGCCCAAGCCTGCTGAGCTAACGTGTGTACATGGAGGGTTTCCAGAAGGGCACCGACGGAAGTGGCTGCTGGTTTTGATTCAGTGGATCTTCCCAGTGGAGAAAAGAAGATGAGCGTCTCCAACCCCAAAGTACAAAATCCAGGGTGCTCCAAAGCTGAAAGCTTACGGCGTCCCAGATGCCGCGTCCCAGGCAGACGGCAGGGGCCTCACAGGCGTCACCCCAGACTTCTGGGAGGCTGAGGCAGGTGGTCAGGAGTTGGAGCAGCTTGGTGACTTAGTGAGACCCGTCTCAGGAAATCAAAGAAGCCTGGGGATGCAGCTTAGTGTGAAGATCCTGGCGTCAGCCTCCAACACCTCCGAATGCAGTGTGAAATTACCTTCGGGCCAGGGGTATAAATTATACGTGAAGCAAATGGGTTTTGTATTCGGACTTGGGTCCCATCCACAAGATACCTCTTTTTTTTTTTTTTTTTTTTTTTTCCATCTTTTTGAGACAAGGTCTCGCTATGCGGTTCAGGCTGGTCTTGAGCTCACTTTGTAGCCCAGGCTGGTGTGGAACTCCCAAGGGTTCTCCTGCCTCAGCCTCCCGAGTGCTGGGATTCCAGGCGTGAGCCACCACGCCAGGCAAGATATCTCATGTGGATGCAGATATTCTAAATTTTGACCAAAATTTGAAATCCAAAGCATTTCTTGCCCCAGGCATGTTGGATAACGGTGCCCAACCTGTGCACCACGAATTTCCGTTATCTAATCCTACATCTGTGTCCTCTTTCTCAGATTGAGTTTTTCCCATTCTTGATGAGGCAGAAATTCTAGTTAATTTTTGGTTAGTACTATGCCTGCTGAAATTTCTGGCTGAAGTTGGGCATTATGCGTGAGGACGCAGGATTACTACGAGCCCCTGAGCTACCTGATTTTCCTGCAAGGAAAAGCACAGAATGTAGGGCCAGCAAACTGGGTTTGAATCACTGGTCCGGCGCCCAGCAGTGTGGACCAGACCAGGTCGCTGGCTCGGTCTCTGAGCTGTGGTCTCCTCCTCTGTGAAACGCGGTGACTTAGTTCCCGTGATGTGCGGTGCTCTGCTGGCCTGTCCTGTCTCACAGAGGCCCCGTGAGGCTGGGGAGGGAACGGAAGGGCTGTGTCGGAGCCGTGAACACTGAGCTCCGGCCCAGAGTGTCCAGTCCCCAATGTGGCCCTTCCTGAGCTGCCCGAGCGCGCGGCTCGCGAGCCCACGGAGCCCAAGGCGGCGGCTTTCCTGCGGGGCTCTCTGGCTGGAGTCACAGCCTCTGTCCCGGGCAGTCTCGGGTTCCCCCTCCGAGCCACGATCGGCAGTGGCTGTTTGTCCGTCTGGGCGGTGATTGGTTCTTGCCGCCCGCCCACGTCTGCACGCAGATGCCCGGCCTTTGTCCTCACAGTCCAAGTCTCCACCGGAAGGCTCTTCCCGGGTAAGAGCCCTGCTCCTCGGGTTCACTGTCCCGTGCTGGAAGGCTTTTTCCTTGTGTGTGACGCAAAAATAAGTAATGTGAATTGCGACTTTCAAATATAACTGACTCTTTAAAAGTTTTGTTGAAAAAGTTTTATTGAGTAAAAGTTAAATAATTTAAAAGATTAAACAGTGAGTGATCTGCTCCCCTTATCTACCTTGTGTGCCTACGTTTCAGGTGGAAAATGCAGACGTGCCTGACTACAGCTTGCTTAAGAAGCAGGATCTCGTTCCGGGCACGGGCTACAGGTTCAGGGTGGCCGCCATCAACGGCTGTGGGATAGGCCCCTTCAGCAGGGTCAGCGAGTTCAAGACGTGCATCCCCGGCTTCCCCGGAGCGCCTTCTGCCGTCAGGATTTCCAAGGTGGGTGTCGGCGGCTCCGGGTGGGGGAGTGCAGACTGGCTGCCTGACACCCGTGCGGGGAGAATCCCGGGGAGGAGGTGGATTCGGGCTAATTGTTCATGGCCTTTTTAAGTACTAAACTTCAAGCAGAATTATAGCGGTCACATCACAGAAAGGCAGGGAAATCTTTTGGCTTGGTCCTTGTTATGTAAACTAGAAGTTCATGCTGGAGAATTTTCATAGAATACATGAAATGGGACGACATTTTATCCCAAGTTCTGCCCTTCCTCAGGGGAGAAAAGGCCTGTGTTTAGTGGAGGAGAGTTCCCTCTCTGGGCTATCACAGGCAGACTCTGCAGCCTCACTGTGCTGTGATACACGGCCATGTGCCCAGCACTGGGAGGCTGAAGCAGGAGGGCCACCGTGAGTGGGGGCATCTTGGGCTGGGCATGAGTTCAAGGCCAGCCTGGGCCACATAGTGAGACCCTTCTCTGGGGGAAAAAAAAGACAGGCAAAGCGCACACGAGCTGAGCACTGGGGTGGGCCTCAGGTGGGCTTCAGAGTGTCGCCAGTGCACCAGGCCCCGTGCAGCTGCCGTGCGCGCCTGAAAGGCAGACTTAGCGCACGGGCCGGCGTGGGAAGGAAGCCTGGCGAGCCTGACGCGTGCCCCCTTTCCAGAGTGTGGAAGGCATCCACCTGTCCTGGGAGCCCCCGACCTCGCCGTCCGGAAACATCCTGGAGTACTCCGCCTACCTGGCCATCCGCACCGCGCAGGCCCAGGACAACCCGAGCCAGCTCGTGTTCATGCGCATCTACTGCGGGCTCAGGACTTCCTGCGCCGTGACGGCCGGCCAGCTGGCCAGCGCGCACATCGACCACACCTCGCGGCCGGCCGTGGTCTTCCGCATCTCGGCCAAGAACGAGAAGGGCTACGGGCCGGCCACGCAGGTGCGGTGGCTGCAGGGGAACAACAGGAAGGCACCTCTGAGCTGAGCCGCTGTCCCGCGCTGCTCGATGGCACTTATTTATTAGCTGCTGGTCATGAACATGTCCTGCGGCCGCACTTCAGCAGTTAGGAACTTTCGAGTTTATAAGTTGTTCTTAAAATACATTCGCTCAGTTGTAGATCCAAATAAAAATAGAAAAAGCCAGGACTCTGAATTAGTACACGGGTTCCTCCCTGTCTGTGTAGCTCCGCACAGAGAAAGCAGGAAAGCTGAGGTAAGCCGGGAGCAGCTGTCACCCTGACCGCCCCCCTCTAGAGCTGCGTGGCTCAGTCTTCCTGGGGCTCCGGCAGCTGCCCGCGGTCGCTTTCCTGTCTCAGCAGCGCCCTGCGGAGTGGCGGCCCGCCAGCTGTCTCTCCCTGGGCGCTGTTTGGTAGGCTGGTCCATAGACATTGGCTGCCCTTCTTCATTGACAGCTAGCGCAGAGCCTAAGAAGTTAGCCAAGACAGAGCCAAAGGTGAGCTTCAGACTGAATTTCCTCTTTTTTTTTTTTTTTTTTTGGAGCTGGGGATCGAACTCACAGCCTCGCGTTTGCCAAGCAAGCACTCACGCCACTGAGCTAGATCCCCAGCCCTGCCCCTGAGTTCCTGGCCCTCTTCCGCTTATGGTGAGACACAGAGGGCGGTCTCGGCCCCAGCCCAGTGTGCTTCCATATATTTTGGCCAAGGCACAGCCGGTGGGTCTCTCGGCTCTCAATGTGCTCCCCACGGGCTGTGTGCGGTGCTCAGTGGCTCTAACTCCTTTGCTGAAATCAAAACCTTCATAATTTCAAAGCTCAAAATTGAAGTGTATGTCCTCTTACCGCAGAAAGACGCACCTTAATAAGACCTACGTTTGGGGTAGTGTTTTAAACATTTGTAAGATTTTGTAAATGCTCTAGATGTTTTATTTTTGCATTATTTTTACCTCGAAATTGTATAAACTTTTTTACGATAGGATTATAAGCATTAGACAGCTAACTCAGGTTCCTTACAACCTTAAAAACGCAGATAAGAGCGAGAAATACTCTGCATAGGTACCTTGTTTTAGACCTTTTGGGAGCTTCATGGTTCCGCTGCCTGGTCAGGTCTGGAGTAAATATCTACAGAGCAATAACTGCGGGAAAGACTGCAGGCCGGAGCTGCGGCAGCCGGGGGGCGCAGGTCTGTACAGGCGTGCACCGCGCCCTCTCTCCAGGTTGGGTCCGCTGAGTAGCTGCGTCGTCAAACGTTCGTGTGTGATCCCCAGCCCCGTGGGACCCGCTGTGCAGAACTGATGTGCGTGCATGCTCAGTTACTAATTTAAAGTGTATAGAGTATTTTAATATATAATTTTTTGTAAAGAACTGGGATTTTTATATTACAGTATTTGTAATTAATGTGTCTCATTAATTTTCTCTTGAAGAAAATATGCAAACTGTTAGACACATACTGAGTGGTTTCTGAACTCTAAGATGAAATAAACGCACTGCCGTGGTGGTGTCAAAGCCTGCTCCGTGGCCCGGGTCCTTGTGTTCAGCGTCTGCGCTGTGGCCTCAGCAGCTGCTCCTGCATTTGTGTCATTCCGCGCTTAGCTTTTGCACATGCCCGCTTCGTGCACTAGTGGGATTTTCACTTTGCTCACTGTTACGTTTGTAATCATTTGTACAGTTCCCATGATGCGCCTGCTGTAGGCTGGACAAGTACTTAACCAAAGTTAAAATAAAGGGTAAGCAGTTTTGCACATGTTACATGGAGGGTGGACTCTGTGTGCGTGTGTGTCCTTCATTATGAAACAGTGAGAACCGGGGAGCAGGGGGAGTTACAGTAAGGGTACGGTTCAAGCCCAGTGATTTTAGTGATCTCTTTGCTTTATTGGAAAAATGCCTGGCTCTTAACTCTTATTCCTCTGCATTAATTAACAGTCTGCACTTTATAGCCCTTGAAGACAAAGAATAGGTTGATTTAGAGCACAGAGTAAGGGCTGAGCATGTGGCTCGGTGGTGGAGCTCTTGTCTTGCATGTGCAAGGCCCGGGGGTCAGACCCCGGCACCACAGAAAATAAACAATAAATGGTAACAGCAAGAAGAAGAAAAACGGCGAGCATGGTGGCCCGCTCAGCACTCAGGAGGCTGAGGCAGGAGGATCACTTTGAGTTCAAGGCCAGCCTGGGCTGCATAACGAGACCGTCTCAAAAAAGAAAAAGAGCAGGGCACTTTAATATTTACCCTTGCTCAGCATTTGGCTTAGAGACCTCGCGATCTGCATGTTCATGAGGAGAATGGATTGGGTAAACAAGCGGGGTGCGTGCTTGTAATTCCACTACTTGGGAGGCTGAGGCAGGAGCGTGGCAGTACCTTTGAGGCCAGCCTGGGCTACACAGTGAGTTCAAGGCCCGCCTCAACTGCATAACAAAACTCTGTCTTAAAAAAGGACAAAGACAGCTTACCAAACTAAAGCCAATGAAATGTTTGGGAAAGTGTAATTTTTTTGAGAGAGACTTGTTTTTTGGCAGTTTCCCTGGAAGTAAAGTGTAACCCAGTTTTATCAGCACTGATACCGCGGATACAGTCCGGTTGCGTACACCTGACACATCTGCCCCGCATACAGCCCCTGCGGGAAGGGGGACCGCCGATCCATTATTCAAAGCCTTGTCGGGGCGCGGAGATGCATTCTGATGAGAGATGTGGTCAGTTTTGTTTGTAACATGGCAGTTCTCGCAACATCAAAACCATTTATAACTCTGAAGATGAAGAGGTTGTTCATAATTGATCATGGTCATCTGATCATAAATGAAGTAGATTCCAAAATGGATTTGCTCTTGGACCAGCTAAGGTCTAACTGTTGTATTTTCTAAGACTGATTTTACGCAGTTTTATATGTCATGTACTGTGCCCTGTAAAGTAAACGCCTTTTCCACTCAAAGGGTTACAGGTGTTACTCATTTCTTTGTCTTTTTAATATTTATTTTTTTATTTTGAGACAGGGTCTCCCTCTGCAGCTCAGGCTGGCCTTGAGCTCACTGTGCAGCCCAGGCTGGCCTCGAACTCGCAACGATCTTCCTGCCTCGGCCTCCCGAGTGCTGGGAGCCCAGGCCTGAGCTCCGCCAGCTCTAATCTCTTTATCTACTCTTGAGTTTTTTCCTTTTTGCTTTTAGCCAGACTCCGAGCTGCCGCTCGCTGTGGTGACCTTAGCAGAGGTAAATAACGACGCACTCTCAGCCCCGGGGACCCCTCTGTCCCCAGCCTTGGCGCTGATCCTGCCTCAGCGCCTCTGTGCCCGCCCCGTGCCCCCATCTGGCCGGCTGCATCCCTGCGCCTTTCGTGACCTCTTGGCCCAAGCAGATGGGGGGAGACAAAGCTGCTGCTCTGCCTGCTGCCCCCGACTGGCCTCCATGTGAGCCACGGGAAGCTGGCTGCCCTGTGGCAGCTGCGTCCACTCCCTGGGCTTGCCAGCGGGTCCGAGGGGTGCCTTCCGCCTTCTGGTTGGCCAGTGGGCTGGAAACAACCCACCTGGCAGCAAGTACGGAATGCGGCCACCGTCAGAGCTGTGCGCCTTCCCACTCCTAGGCGAGGCTCGGGCCGAGCAGAATAGCTCCCAGGAGCACCCATCTGCAAAGACCTGGGCTTCCCAGCACTGACGACACTGCTGGGTTGTGAGCTTTAACACGGGATGAGCGAAATAGGCTCTGTCAGAAGCCGGTGTCTCTCTCCTCTCTTCGTTTTTTGTTTTTTGAGACAGTCTTACTTATGTAACCCAGGCTGGCCTGGAACTCACGGGGATCCTCCTGCCTCAGCCTCCCGAGTGCTGGGATGACAGGTGTGTTTGCTGATGCTGGAAATAGCGCGTTCATAGTTACTGAAGCACAGGGCCCTGCAGGAGGGCACAGGCACCAGGCTCAGTTCGGAGTGAGTCAGGGCGCAGCCAAGGTCACCGCGAGCTCGGAGGGCAGGGAAGCACGCCGGCTGCCTCCCCGTTTCCCAGGGCAGCGCCAACATCTCCACGTGCTCGGTTCAGTGGCCGCAGAGGAGGGCTTAGTTGGATCGTCCCTAGAAAAACAAACCAAACAAACCTCAGGATCCTGGGAAGGAAAATAAAGTCTAGAATTCTAGAAGCTGAGTGAAGACAGACAAGGCACCCAAGTCCCAAAGTAGGTTTTGCACATTTTACTCGGGCCCGTTTGCTGTTCTGTCTCTTGTCAGAGCCTCCACTCGAGGCCTCCACTGAGGCCCGCGCGGGGTTACCGTGTTCTGCGCACCCCGGATGAGCTGCAGGGAGCAGCTGTGCTCAGAGCCCGGCCGGCGTGGGTCTGGCAGAGGAGGACGGGGCTTCCCGAAGTCCTCCCTGGCCATGATCCTCTGTGGCTGGCCGCGGAGAGCCCTGAAGACACCTGGAGATGTCAGTGGTCGCCCCTGCCCGCCAGGGGTGGGGTGCAGGAAGCGCAGTGGGGGTCGGCGGCCCAGGGCCTTGGGAGCCGACCGAGGAGCACGTTGCTAGCGGGGTCCAGGATGCCCAGGGCGCGGCGAGCCAGCCGCTGCTCCCCACTGGGGCGCTTGCTTGTGGCAGAGTGGCACCGGCCACGTGTAAGCTGCATCCAGCCAATGCCCAGCGCTAAGCAGGTTGCACACGCCTGCCTGTCCCTGGAGGGTGGATTCTGAGCCTGCCGGTGCCCTGCTAATTTTTCCGTTTATCCCGGGAAGGGATGGGCAGCGCGGTGTAAGACTCCACTATCCAGGAGCCCAAAGCCCAGCTGCAGGCCAGCGGGGCAGAGCTGGGCCCACATCCTTCGGCCTCCAGGCGCAGGCTGGTGCCCCCTGGTGGTGAGTAAGGTAGGCTGCTGGGGCTGGCGCCTGGGTTTACTTACGTAGCCACAGCCATGTCCCAGGCCTTCTGGTGGACCCAGCTGGGCAGATCGACTACGGACAGCTCTGCCTCCCAGCCGATGGGCTGCCAGTTGGCTGCCAGCCCTGTCCGGCCCTGCCTGACCCCCTAAATCAAGATGACCCTGCCCTGTTTGGGGATGAGATGTTTCAAGATCTGGTTAATGGTTTAAAATCTCTGGATCGAATATCAAAACATCTAGCTTCGTCCCTGCATGGGGGAATCACCCTGACCACGTTGGCTTAGCCTGCCAGCGGCCTGGACAATGACCGCCCGGGCAGGGACGGGTTGTAAAACTCCCATGGGCACCGCCCTTGCAGGAGTGGAGAAGCAGCCTGTGGCTGCCGAGGAAGCCTAACACACAAAGGTGCCATGGATCGCACGCCCAGAAGAGACGTGCACTTCAGAAAGTCCACAGAACGGCAAGTCCACAGGCCTTCTGACCTGAGTTTCCCGTCACCCGCCAGGCCCTCGTCCACTTTGTACAATAGACACCGTGGGGCGTGGTCACCAGCAGGCCAGTCGTGGCCAGCTCAGACCAGCATGGCGAGGACACCACAGCATCCCAGCTGCCTGGGGCCCCACCTGCCCACGTGAGGGGCACTGCAGCCGGTCTCTTCCGTGTTGTCCTCTTCTGTGGTGGCCCTTCCCCCACAGAGCCGCACAGTGTCCTGTTGGGAAGGTAGTGCACGTCGCAGAAGCCTGCATCTGTGTCCCCTAAAAGTGTGTAAACACACACGCGCACACATACGCGCACAGTTAGGTGGGCTGCGTGTGGGTGGTGAAGAGGATAAACCAGGCGGGGCAGGGCTTGTACAGTGACCCAGCATGTGAAAACAAAGATCATGCATAATATTTAGCTTAAGAAATAGAACATGTACACCTGTTAGCCCAGCACTCAGGAGGCTGAGGCAGGAGGATCCCCTCAAATTCAAGGCCAGCCTGGGCTACATAGGGAGATCCTGTCTCAAAAAATTGAAAAAATCATATATATATATATATATATATATATATATATGATTATTTCTCTCTTTGCTTGGTCTGAGAGTAGGAAAAGGTCACAGGACTTATTCCCACCTGCCCAGCATCCCCATTTGTCTGCCCCCATACCATGCGACGTAAACAGTGTTTTGGATTTTTGTGAATAATCCCCCTATTTTTATTTGTGGGTCTATTATCCATGTGTGCACTCTTAATAAAATATTCAGATTTTCCTGTTTTACATTCGCAGCCGACGGGACCCCACTGCTTGTGTTTGTCTGTGACTCCGTTTCTTGGGTTGTTCTTCAGATCCCTTTCAGTTCATCACCTGTAACCGCATTGTTTGCACGACTGTATAGTATTCTACAATACGGCCGTGTCCCTATTTACCCATCCATCTGTAGAGGTCTGGATTGCTTTCAGCTTCAGTGCTGCTGTGAACTCACAGCCCGAGGACGCAGTGTTTTCCAGTAATGCCGACACCATATTTCTCCTTTTCGCTCCAATTTTTACCAAGTTTAAATCCTTTCTGGATTTACAGTAATGTCGTTGCTCCTGTAGCTCATCAAGTCCCATTCATATTTTGGTTTTTTGGAGTTTATTTGTCTTCTTGAGATGGGGCCTCTCTATGCAGTTCAGGCTGGCTTTGGGCTCACTTTGTAGCCCAGGCTGGTCTCGAACTCACCTGGACCCTCCTGCCTCACCCTCCCGAGTGCTGGGATGACAGGCATGAGCCACCACACCCCGCTGTACAAACTTCTGTTCTATAAGGCGCCTCTCTGTCCTTCAAGGTGTTCAGTCTCAGCAGGAGCTCTTTCCAGTTCTTACACCAGGAACTTTTCCTCCCTGTGTCTGTGCTGACCAGGATCAGCACCGCAGTGTCAAGAAA